GTTACCTGTCCAGGTGAACCTGCCTTCACCCTGAGTCAGCTGGGATAGGCTCCGCCCCCCACCACCCTAGTGAGGATTAAGGTGTAGAGATGATGGATGGATGGAATTTCTCTATCAGGATATCTGAAATTAAACCCATCACCTGCCACCTCCCCTCATGTTTGTAGCTGCAGTTTTGCAACCTGGACTGTTTCTAAACATTAAATTAAGCAAAATGTGCTTAGGACATCATCCTGAGTCATTTTGTAGAAACAAAACACTGGGCATGAAGGTTTTAAAGAACAAACTGATGGAACATTTGTCAAACATTTTAGTTTCTTCACCAGAGGGCGGCAGCGTGCAACGACTCAGCAGTCAGTGTAAGTGTGTGTTTAGTGTGGTGTCACCCGCTAACCCACGAAGCTGCGACTTGTGAGTCCTGCACATTTACTTCTCCAACTGTAGGAGGGAAGCAGTGGTGTGGTGCCGCTGAAGGGGCATGAAAAGGGAGAAGAACGGTAGGGACAGATGTGCATGTTTTACAAGGCGAGATCAGTGAAGATGGGGTGAAGTTTTAAATCACAGGTGTGACAGGACATTAAACCGACGTCTTGGTGGCACGTCGTGAGACTTAATGTTAAAGACCAGGGGTGTCGAACTGCGGTCCTCGAGGGCCGTAATCCTGCATGTTTTAGATGTTTCCTTCTTCTAACACACCTGATTCAAATGATCAGCTCATCATCAAGCTCTGCAGAAGTCTGATAACGATCCTGATCATTTGAATCAGGTGTGTTGGAAGAAGGAAACATCTAAAGTTTGCAGGATTGCGGCCCTCGAGGACCGGATGTCGACATCCCTGTTAAAGACTGATGTGTGCAGTGGTGACTCAGGGAAAAGATGGGTGTCAGTGAACCCAAACCCAGCTCCCATCATCCCCCAGTTCAGCCGCTCTCTGTCACTCAGTTTTAACAAATTCCTCATGAATTGGGTAATAAATCTGGAGAGGGGAAAAAGGGGATTTCCAGTCCAGACAGAGTGTGCACCCTGCTGCCCGACAGGCTCTGATTGGTGAGCAGACGTAATGACTGGTGTGTTTATGTTGTTCAGTCACACACACACACAGATGACAGGAAATGCCCACTGAAATATCCTTCCCCCTACCAGAGCAGCAGCAGTGCGTGTCGCTGTTTATAGACCTAATTGTGTACAGGTGTTGCCGAGGTGATTCCAGATGACTCAGAGGAAGGCGTTCTGTTTGCCGGTTGTCCCGGAGGAATGTGGGAACGATGTTGAAAGGAGGGCAACCTCACCCTCTCTATTGGTGTGTTCACTGACATTTATGGCGCTGTTTGCTCCAAGTCCACCGGAGAGTCAATAGTAAGAACAGAGACGATCATGATTTAATGCATCATTGTACCAGGTTGGGATTTTTTAAAAATCCTGATTTATGTTGACTAGCGCAGTGCAACGGTACCGCTGGGCTCGGGTGGTCGCTCATCATCGTTTTTGGGTCACATCCAGCCTGTTTTCTGTGCAATCTAAGGAGCTTTTTCACTCGGTAGGACATTTCTGTATTCAGTTTTGCCAATCGTTGCACCAACAGATGCAAATTTGATTTAATATTTATTACATAACGTGGGCTTCAGTGCACAACGATTCGAGGATCACGTGATCAAACCTTTTGTGTCTGTCTGTCTCCCGTCAACACCAGTTATTCATTTAGTTCTTGAGCCACTTGCTAGTTTATAGTGGCAAAGCAGGGCTCGGTAAAGTCTGGAAATTATGCAGCAAGTATGAAAGAATTTAAAATTTGGGGTGGGGAGGGTCTAGCCTCAGCTACATGGGCTCTGTTAAAAACTAGGCTTTGGACACATTCATGAAACTTTATGACCACAAAAAAAAAAAAAAAATAGATTGTGCACAGTGACATTAGTAAATCAGAAAGGCTGAAAATTAGAACATACAGCTTTGGAAATAATTATTAGACCACTTATTGTTCGACCTGCTTGGATTTTGGTAAATACAGCATCTTTGAAAACACATGAGAAAGTGTAAATTATTATTACATTTTAAACTTTAAAATAATGTCTTCAAACTGTATTTTTTATTTTCAAAATTCACATGTTTTGAGTCACCATTAAAATAATGGGGTTCTTGCATAAGCTGTAAAGTGACCAGATACTCAAAACAGAATCATCATTCAAGAATGCATCCAGGAGAGCTGAGGTGGTGAGAAGACGGCCATGTTGGCGCTTCATGAAGAGGGAAACAGACAGAGCTGGTGCTAATCAGCTTGGAATCAGGCAAACAGCTGTCCATCACAACCTTAAGAGAAAAAGTCAGTGTGGCTGCACCAGAGGAAGAGGCAGAAAACAGTGTTCAGTGGTCTAGCAACTCTTTCCACAGCTGTACGTACATTATGCAGTGTGTCTCACCCACTGTGGTGTCGATGGTTTTACTAAAGCCTCCATGTGTGGCGTTAATGCTTTTGAAGATATGTCATGTGGTAATCACATAGACTACACTGTAAATATTGAACTGAAGCTTCACCTGAAAAACTTGCATCGCAAACTAAACTGCAATATCTGTAAACAGAGGTCTGTTGTTCAGGTTTAAATCAGCATAATTCCCCTTCAATTACCAACCGTGTGACAAAAAGACTAAAGTCCAGATGACAGATTAAATGATTCTAGAATTACTCACACATAAATTTATCATAGAAACCAGTTTAAAAGTTGACGTAGTCCTGTTCATATTGTCAGCTTAGACTTTTTTTTTTCAGAACACACTCAGCTTTTGTACACAGTCTGCGCTTAAACTCGATATGAATTCATCTGTGCCACCCTTGAGATCACGTTCCATTGTCTCCTTAATAAAGCATCAGATTTGATCACTACTGTTTTCTCTGCTCACTTTTAATGAAGATAATCTCGCTGTTAAGATGCTTTACATAAATCCCGTCCCATGCTGGAGGTGATTATCTGTATTATCTCACCATATGTGTAGAAGGAGTCGTCTGTCGAGCTGATGGAGCTGGGGAACAGCCCCCTCTGTAGGCACCCGTTGGGGGAGTCCACGTTCAGCTGGGGCAACGAGATGGCATTCTTGATGATGGGTGAGATGTCCGGCGGCGGGGACGACAAGTCTCGAGAACCTCCTCGCGGCCGTGGCCCAGAGTTCTTCCGTACGTGGCGAAAGGTGCGCGTAAAGAACCCGGTTGTCTTGGAGCTGTTGGCAGAGTCTGGACTTCCTGGCTCCCTGTTGCCCCCGTAGTTGCTGAGGAAGGAAGTGTCACCAAACACATCCCCGCCACGGCCTACGTGCATAGTGTGTCGGAAGTCGCCCAGCGGAGGGCTGATCATGTCCACGGAGAGGTCGCTCTTAAAGCGGCGTTTACCCTGTGAGCCCGACACAAGGCCTTTAATCCCTGGCAGTTTTCCCAGACTCATGGCGGCAGAAAAGTTGTGTAATTTCCCTTTATATCAACTGAGAATGTCTGAGCTCCAATTACATGTCAGTCAAGTCTGAATTCCAGTTTCGGGGTCCACTGTAAAACCAGAGAGAGGGAAAAAAAAAAAATGAAATGCCTAGACAGTGAGGACAGAAAACACAAATATGTGGTTGTTAAGTTGGCAGAGAATGTGTGTATAATCCATTCTCCATAGAGTCACAGCCAGCTATTCATGCACTGCCTGCCCACGGCTTCCCTTTAGGATCTACGCTGCAAGATGCCGCTTGCATCCCCTTCTCTGCCCTCCTATTCACGGCTGGTACTGCACATCTGTCCAAAATGACCACTTCTTCTACACGACAGCAGCTTCCAATCATCACAAACTAACAATGAGATAAATTACAAGGCCATACTCTGTTCCCTCTGGATACCGCAGCCTGTGCGGTTGGAGAGTTTGGGGCGGACCAGGCGCTTGTTCAGATTTGGTTCACAGAATGACTGTGTAGAAATACAAAATCCAGCCACAACTGGAAATACACCGAGCTGCGATTCCAGCCAAAGAAACTACAATTCTACAGTTTCATTTAGCTTTTATCCAAAGCGACGTACATCTGAGAGCAGGTACAACACAAGCAAGGATCTAGTCAGGAGAAAACAATCTAGATAAGTGCCATAGAACAAATAAATAAAACTAGGCAGTTGTATGGCACAACAGACTGGTGTTCCCTTAGTTTTAATGGTTTTAGACTTGGGGAACGTCTTCTTGTCAGCCCCAACTTGTGTTTCGCTCGCAGCACTAAGAGGATCACCTCAGCAGGAGGCCTTGTGAAGCTAAAGGGTGTTTTACTCAAACCCCACGAAAAAAATAAAGCTTTTGTGCAGAAATACAGAATTTTCAGGACAACGTATAACTGGGCATCGTGTCAAATCAACAAGCCTGTTGAAGTTTATATATAAATATATATAACTGTACTGAGTTGCTTTACAGGCTCATGGAAGTGTGTTCTCCCATCTCGCTATTATTTAGGTTTCAGGTTAGCCTACGAGGATTAACACCTAAGAGCATGTCTGAGGTGTCAGTCTGTTCGTAACAGTTTTGAACCCAAACACACTGCATGCGCTGCAGTAGAGCAGCAATACATGCATGCAGGACAATTTATTCATAAATAAATCATACATTTCACCTGCGTTCCTGTTTTAGGTTCAGCAGCCTTCAGCAATTTTCTATAATCCTACACTTTAAAAGAAACGAACCACAGCTGATCATCAACACAGCGTGTCTCCTGTGTTGCTTACTGGCAGTGAAGCCTTTCTGTGCAACACGTCCTAACTTCAGACAGAAGTCTGTTTTCTGATGTCTTCTTCAGTGTCTTCCTCTTAGCAGGACAACAGGGGGTCCACTGCCACACACCGTCTCCCACTAAAAAGCTTTTTATCCATGTGTGGCCCCACACCGTCCACAGGACATCCTTTCCACAGGCCTGCCGCCTCGCTTCTTTGTCCTCTGCTCCCAGGTCCTTCTCCGCCCAGGACACAAGGCCTTTGAGAGGCAATAAAACCAATCAGAGCAAAGAAAAACGAAGGGTGATGCACTCCTGGAAAGGGCAATGAAGTAAAGCGCTGTAATCCAGCAACTGTTTTGTCTGCATCGTCCTGGAAGAATGATAAAGCTGCTCCGGGATTGTCCATGCACTGGATTAGCTGCTAATCCCCTCTGTCTTCCCTCCCTCTGACTCCCTCACTCGGCCTCTGCCTTCTCCAATCCACTTAGTTCTTCGATGTCTTCCAGGTAGGGGGTTCTCTGTTTTCATTTAGTTCACATGCGGCCAGCTAAAGACCAGGGAGAGAAAAGGAGAGGGACGTTAGTGGCACACTTCACCCAAGACTAAACCAGAGAAATGTGTTATACAACTATAAAGGTGCTCAGTGGTGAGAATCCTGTCTGACAAAAACTTGACAAATGAAACGTGTCTTTGCTGAAGGCTTGGAGGAGTCTTCTGTGTATTCTGACTCTTCTGTCAGCTTTTCCACAATTATGTTGTTTAGAATCACAACTATTTCAGGGCTCCACAGTTCAACAACTAGTGGACCTACACAGGATTGTCAGCTATGTTGACTTTGACATTTTATGATGACTTCCATGAATAATTAAACATTTCTCCCAGTTGCCTCGTCTTCCTCTGGTTTGTATCGTGCGGTGTTGGACTGTGGGTTAACGTAACAACAACCTGCCTGCTTATGCACCACCATCTGGACCTATTCTAGCAGATTTGTACAGTTAAACACCATAAACACACTGTTTGTGGAGACACATTTTTCCTGCAACATCCAAAACTCTCTGTGGTTCTGTGTTTCCACTCCGAACACCTTCTTCCAGCCTGCTGCAGAAATGAATCCAAGGCAAAAGGAGCACTGGTAAGCTCCAAACACGTGACCTCTGCGGGACACGGCCAGCATTGGATTAACTGCTGCCAGGCCAATCTGGATCTGTGATAAAACGCCTTCTGTAAGGTGACGGTGCCACTCTGACTTGGCACTGGTCTTCCATCAGTTTCCAACTAATCCTTGCTTTTCAAGAGCTTCAGGACAAATATTCAGGGGCGGCTATCGTTCACTGTCATTTATTGCCTCAAGGAAGGCACGGAAGAAATATGATGAAAATGTGTCTGACAGTAGAAGAACTCAACTTAGAGGCCAGTCGTGTGCAGGAGGAGCGAGGCTGGATGGGTTTTAGCTGTTATCTGACCACTTCTGAACCTTCAGCTCAGCAACACTTAGCTTAAGGCAACGATTAGGGCCTGAGGGGCACGAGAAGGTAAGACACAGGTAAACATTAGCCACAGAAACAAATCAGTCAGAACTGATGAAGCCTCTTGGATGAGAGGTGAAACGTCTTCAAGAAACTCAAGCAAGTCCAGTTGCTACGATTAATCTACGAGTATCACCATGAGCTGGAGGACTGAGAATCTTCACTGACACACAGAAACAAACAGTCAATCAAATCCGCCTGTTTGACATGAATCCCTTCATATTTCCTCCACATTTCAGTCATCCGCTGTGTCGTTCATACCTTCTCGTGGTGCAATCCACATGTTTTCTCGCGTTCCTCCAGCTGCCAAGTTCTTCTACCCCCTTAACAACTGTTTATACCGACTTTGTGAGGAGTAATTTGTGTAAAATAAACTATAACACCAGCACATAAATTCACTTTGAGAACTTAATTCCCTAAAATTGGCCTCGTTAGAAACACGCAGAAAGACATTTGGATCTGTTAAGCGTGTTATTTATCCCAAAGCCGTACCTGCAGACTCCCATAAACAAGTGTTTCCACATGAGAGGCCTGACTGATTGTAGACACGAACGTGGAGGTTTGGGAAGCGTAATGGGAACAGCGTGCAGTGGGGAGAGAAGACCGGACGGCATCTATTACAGCCATTAAAAAAGGATCTGAGGGTGCTGATGAGAAACACATTTTTACCTTCCGTCTTCATGCGTTCTTTATCTGCCCCCCTTGGCTTCTATTTTAGGCTCTTCTTTCAGTCATTCTCACTGTGTTGTTATCTCAGTTTTCACTTCTGTCACAAAAGCACAATGTCAAACACGCTTCCCTTCGCTGTCACCCTCATTGCAGATCTTACAGTGAAACCTCTGGTACCACAAGTGCAGAACTGGGCTGTGATTACATTTTGGTCGCAGTGGCTCAGATGGAGACACAACCGTACGCTTGTACACAAGGCTACACACAAACACACACAAACACACACAAACACACACAAACACACGGCTCAAACAACAAAAAAAGAACTGGCAAACAAACTTTGAGCTATGGCAACTTGTAATAAAGCTTTGTTCAACCAAACAACTACAGTTAGTTCGGGGACTTTTTCTCCCCAATCAAAGGTATTTTTAATTACAACTTTTAAATTGTCCCAAATTAAGCTTTAAAGCCAATTTCATGATGTTGCCTCAACGTGAATTTCTTTTTAAATCATCTAATCCAGAAAATGTTGGTTTAAATGACACATAATATTATCATGATGCCACATTTTAATGTCGACCCAATTTAAAAGGCTAATTAAATCAGTAAATTACATTTTGTTTTTCGATTAATTAAAGAAGGTCCCTTGAATTACTTTTTACAGTGCAGAGGACAGCACCGGCAAACCGTGGTTGAGGTCAGAACACCCTGACCATCGGCTCCAAAATACAACATGCACTCAGTTTACAAGCTGCAACGTGGCAAAGCACTCCACGGCCTGCCAGGTCCGTATGGTCAGGGTGTGTGTGTGTCTGCAATGCATGCATTCAGATGTCTTCTATGCCACCTGGATAGCCAGCCGTCTTTTACATGTCTGATTAGGGTGCATGCTAACTGAAAGTGTTAACATGGGTTCATAATGATACATGACCTCTAACACAGATCTGGTCCGGACCTGTGTGTCAAATCGGAGCTCTGTGGTTCACTGACTTCCTGTTCACTCCCTCGAACGCTTTTCTTGAAGTTCGACTGAGTCAACAAAAATTAGTCACAAGAAGAAACACTCGAGATAAGAATTCGCTGCACATTAGACCTCTTCAGCTAGTTCGATTACTTCTTTTATGGTGAACAAACAAGGAAAAGAAACCAATGAACAACAACAGCAGAGGAAGCAAACAGAAGAGTTTGGTTTAACCCTGATGAACATTCACTAGTTCCACGAGTTTGTATGTAGGAGACTTCTGTCAACAAAACTCAAGGGAAATGGGACCAAACAACAGCGAAGTGCAAACATATCTCATTCTATTCAAAAGCGCTGCCTAACAAAGAGTGTAAAGAAATGTTGCCTCTTCAAACTTCCACCTACAATAAACGGGGCGCTGCACTTAATCGAATATATGCCATACTCACAACCTCCAGGTTGTCTGAAGATAAAATAAAGTGCAAAGTGTAGGCCAATGTAGTAAAATACTTATGAATACAGTCAAGTATAGAAGAAAATACAAGAACCACGATAAAACCAATTGAGAAACGGTCTCATCAGTAATGTTTTAAAGGACAGTGTGAGACCTCATAGGAGGGACTTCTAAAGCAAAGACCTGATCATCTCTGGTCATAAAGAGAAATTCAGAAAAGAGAGGATCTCAAACAGCCATCAAGATCATGAGTAGTTCAATGATCACAAGTGTATGCTGGCGACTGGCCGTGTTGGACTTTAACAACAAGCATTAAAATACAAAGATCTGTTCTTCAGCTAACTAGTAGCCAGTGAAGCACAGGAAGATTTGGAGTTTCCCTTCTGATACTGGAGTAAAATGTGTTTCAGTAATCGAGTCTGAAACGACTTTTTCTAAATCTGTAAAACAAAACAAAACAAAAAAACGTGATCTGACCTTAAAAATCAGCCTCAGCTGAATGAAAGAACACGGACGGTATCTCCAATCATGATGCCACCTCCGTGCCAGCACACTGATCAGAGAACTGGCACAAATCTACAACAGCTGTTCTGTGGTGCAGCAGGAAGAGAACAGTGACCAATTGATTTGAAATGTTTCCACCAACCATCAGCTCACTTCTTCACTCAGAGGTACGAATGTAATCTGTGACATACGATGCATGCTACAGGGCTTCCAACCACTGCTATTGTAATAATGAGAAGTAATGCTGTCAAAGAGGATGTACACAGAAAAGTAACTTCAAAAGCAGTGACTCACTACTGCACACAGCACAGGCTGGATCATATTCAAGTCAGTCATTTGGAAAAGTTTTCCATTTATGACATTTGTTTTCAACTGGGCAGAATGTTTGGGACTCTTCTTTACATATTTTATAGAATAATGATGCTGTGCTATGACAGATGCACCTACTAGCATTGTTGTTTGGCCTCTTTGCTGCACTGACAGTTGTCTGAAGGTTGCATGTTAATAGCATGTCTGTCATGTGCAAAGGTTGATTGTAGTGATCTCATAAGACAGCAAAGTGACACAGCTGCTGTGGTTTCCTTTTTCTTCTATTTTTGCACCGAGACGCACTGAAACTTAAAATAGAAAACCAACACGGCTGCACCGACAGGGTTTCAACGTACTACTGCTTTATACAATAGCAATTTTCATGCATTAAATCAAGTGAGTCACAAACTTTTCCGAATAATCTTACCTTAAAATAAACTCAGAGTGCGGCCCCTTTGCGGAAACAGAACTTCATCCCCTCTTTTCTCTGCCATCCTGCTCAGTTTGTGGTCTGCACCGTATGTTTCCACTTGGACGTGAAGTTTGCATCTGTGCAGAGCGGCAGAGCAGCAGCTCCGAGTTGCTGCTGACAAGTGAACTAAAGGAGATGGAGAAGGAGAGGAGAGGGGAGGAGGAGGAGGAGGAGGAGGATGGGTTGGAGGTGGGTGGAACTCAGAAGCCTGAATAACTGCATAGTAATGGGTGTTGATGCATGATAGGGGAGGCACAGCTCTTGTTTTTTGGTTCTTTGAATGTCACAGAATCAAAAAAACAACAACAAAAAAAGTTGGCTTTCTTGACCATCAACTTTATTAACAAATCTGAAAGTCACACTTTAAATCATTTTAAGCACATTCAGCTTACTCTGCCTCAACAAATGTAGTTAACTGCACTTCACTTGATATTTTAGTTCAGTCTCATTTTATGAGTTGTGAGCATGTAAAAGTAGTCGAGTTAAATTAACTAAACTTGAGAAAACAAGTTCAGTGAACTCAAGTTGAATCAACTTGTCATAGACAACGGTTACAGACGAGTTCATTTTGGAGAGCTTCTTCTTCATTAAGCATTGAGAACTTACAGCTTAAAACCCATTTTTGACCAGAATCAGGACAATGACTCTCGATTATGAGGAAAAGCAACAACCCTAACAAAATTTAACACACATTAAAGGCACACGGTTCCACCATGACCATCTTCTCAAACTACAAGAAAATAAATAGAGTCTCTGGAGAGTTTGAACTTTCTAAAAGCACATCCTCAGAAATCTGCTTATACACTAGTTTGTTTTGTATAAACTCAATTTAATGAGCTGAGGGAACTCGAAGGTGTTTATTAACTCATGTTTTAAGCTCCAAAGTGGTCTGAAAGTAGAAATGAGACTTTTTAAGTTCACTTAATTAAAGATTAGCAGAACTTATGCATACGTTTACATTTAGCAAACTTAAAAAGATAAGTTGATGGGACTAATTTCCTTTACTTTGTAGTTGATGTTAACATTACAGTTTTATGGTAACACATTTAAAAAGTGGTCTGTGGACTAAAGCTATTCTAAAACTGTGCGTTACTTCCTGAAGACAGACAAAGGAATCATTTCGTCCAGCTACGCCAGCAGAACAATGAGCGATTGCCTGAGGTGACTGCCAGCAGGACTGTAGAGCTGAAGGTGACGCAACACTCAGCCAGCATGTAGCAGATCGTCAACCTTTAATCTGAGAGTAAAATATACTCGATAAAAGAGCAAAAGTCCAACAATAAGCAAGCCTGAGGTCACCAAAGGGGGCAATGTGAGAAAGAGTCACTCAGAGCACATGTGAAGGCTGTGATAATAAACCGCTGTGACTCTTCCTACACTGTTCTAACAGCGTGGGTTCGTGCTTCTTGGCTAAATACAGGTAAACGTGCAAGTTAATGGTTTTTGTTTTTTGCATTTTGCGCCTTTGTCCTACTTGTGTGTGAGAAACCTCTTGGTCTCTGAACTTACTTGTCTGGGGACTGGGAGTGGTGACTGTGAGAATCAAAAACACGAGCTCCTGACACCTGCACAGGTATCATTTAACCCTTTATCACCTCTTCACACTGATCATCGTGCTTTCATTTGGACATGCAGCGGTGGTGGATGTGTGCACAGCGGTACAAGACATTATCTTCCAGGTCAGTGTTTTTGACCATTTGATCAGACTTTCAGATGCATTTTTTTTGTGTTTTGACGAGCAAGTTATATTCTAAATAAATTAACATGATTATTTAACTGCTACAACATTTCCCACTCGTACTTAGTGTTTGCCGGTATATCAGGTGTTGTCATTGGTTCAGCCTGTAGTGTGTGTTGAATGCATCACTACATCCACGTCTCGCTAAACACAAATCATAATAGACATGCAGTGATTGCTTAATCTTAAACCTCATGGGACCTATGGCACTTCATATCCTTACGATTTCATCTATTTTAGTGGTGAATTAAGAGGATAAATGTACGTCTGTGGTTTCACTCATATCTAACAGAGGAAAAGTTGTTGCTGACATCAGCTGTTTCCATCCTGACAGATTTTAAAAAAAGCAAAGAGATTCCTCTGGATCGCGGGAACCTAAACGTCCACGCCAAGGAGTTTATGATGTCCATCTGACAGATAAATGTATTACCTAAAAATGAATAATGTCCCATGACAGGTGGGAAAATGGGAGCACAGGAGAGGCTGAACTGACTGGATGAGATGAAAGGAGGCAGGACACAAGGTGGACGAGGGAGAAAAAGGCTGCCGGCTCCGAGTAAGAGGAGAAGAGGAGGTGATTGAAGGGAAGCAGATGTGAAGGGAGGGGTGATGAGAACAGACATGAGAACGAGAGATATTATCACTGCTGTGTGGATCTGGGAGGGCGAGCGGCTCCTGTTGACAAGCTTCAGATGCTCGACGAGGAGTGTTGAAAATGTCGTCTCCTATTTCGGTTCTCGTCCATAAAGGCAAGTTAAGGTAGAAATTAGAGCCAGCATTGATCAAATTGAGGCCCTGTTTACACGTAGCAAAAACGGTGATATTTCAATGGGCCTTTGGTTTACATGTAAATGAAGCGACAAGCCACCGAAAACAATCACTTCTGAAAACTGTGGAGATTTGGAAAAAACTCTGTCTTTATGTTTGCATGTAGACAAGAAGGAGTTTGACGTCATAGTATGCGACAAGAGCGTCGTGTGTGACAAAGTTTACAGTTTTTCAGTAATTTGTGCCATTTGTTGTGTTTTTCCCAGGATTCTGATTGGCTAGCATGCTTCTCATTACACTGCCCCCTACAGGTCTGGCAGCTCATAGCGGCTCTTAACAACAAGACTTTTCCTGTGTGAACAACGTTATTTTTGAAAACCTAGATTCATTTTTGTAAATACCGGCTATGTGTAGCCTGAAACAAACTGAAAACACGAAACTCATCGACCAGAGATTAGAAAGAGGAGGAGGTGGACAGGAAGGAACACAGGAGGAGACGTCTCAGGCAGACGAAGGTTCTTTTTTTTCCCACCGGAAATTACTTTCTCACAAATCAGAGCAGCGGCCAAGAAGCTTCAACTGGTTTCAGACACGGAAACTCATTTTGTGTTTAACAGCTCACTATTATTACTGTCCGTCAGACCTGATGCATTCATCCAGTAAAAACACATTTAAACATGAATTAGTCTAAAGGTGATTTCTTCTGGCTCCTGCTTTCGAGGACCGATCCAGGAGGTTGGACTCCTGATCTCATGAAACCCAGATGTGCATTTTGGAGATGAGCGTCCAGGAAGTGGGAGTGATGGGCGTAAGCGGGGAGAGGGTGGCGTGATCAGGTTGATATACGGAGGGCTGGGTTAAGGGGTACATGAAAGAAGTCGATCCCTGTGGCTTTGTTTGGACTGCGCTCCCGTTTCCGTGGATTCTGACCCGCCAGGAAGCCGAGTGTTGGCCCAGAGACAATAGAGCATTATAAAGTCGGCCCTCTGTGCTTTCTAGGCTACGGCTGAAGAACAGGCATGAATACACAACTGGTTCTGAAACACTGTTTTTAGGTATCGAGGCTAAATTTAGGAGATGGATTCTGTTCTTCTTGGTGACTATTTCTCAGAAAAAGAAATCCATGTAGTTGCTGTACACTGCTTTATCCTCCAAAATCTACCAACAACAGGTAAAACTTCCCTCTGGCAACGTCATGTTGAGCACGTTCCAAAACACTCCTTACACTAACCAAAGGAAGTGTCTGTTTAACTCAAGGAGAGGTGTTTCACTCAAAGAGATTTCTACCGTCTGGTTAAAAAATGTCTAATCTTAAATTAAGCCTCTTAAAGACACTGTAAGTCATCATCGTGTATAGATGCACCATATTGCTGAAACTGGGCACGACATTGTCAACGATCATACAAAACTCTAAGTAAAATCTTAAATTACTTCCCACTGTGGTGTAAATAATGTCTGTTAAGGGGCGGATGAGAGGAGTTCCACTGTTGCACACATCGTATGAGATTTTAACCTGGTGATGTCTCAGTCCTCAATTCTCATCTCGCTATCAGTGTTTCACATACAGTTTACTCTCACTGAGAGACTTTTAATCTGGCTGCAACAAGGTTGTGGGACAGATGTTTCAGGTGTGAAACTTTTTCTTCTAACGTCTGAGACAGCAGTAGAGTCTTGTGCAATCTATGGCTTTTTTAAAAAGCCGGCCAGAGTGGATATGAAGCAGCTGAGACACACAGACATGATTTGTAAAAGCTGGTAAGCACTGAAACCAACCATCGTCCTCCCAGATGTGGTCGCTCATGTTTAGCGTGTGCACACAGATGCTGGATATGGAAACAACAGAAACCAAATGTTGTCAGAGGACTGTGCTAGATGGCTTCTAGGAGTCCTAATTAATAACTAAAATCTTCAATTTAGCACTCTCTCTCTCCACGCCTCTTTCTTCAGTGTTATGATTTCCCAGAGGACTGTACGCTCCTCCTTTGTGTTTCACTGATGCTAGCTAAAGTTAACAGATCGTGATTGCAGATGTGAAAACTCTGAGAACAGCGACTCCTGGACGTCATTTCCAAATCTGTCCATTTAAACAGCACGCAAAGCAAAGCAAAGCAAGGAGAGCAGCAACACCCACAGACCACACGTTGAAACGCTCGCTTAAATATACACATTTAAACACTCAGACTTGTGGACTCTGGAGGCCAAAAGTGTTTTTGCTTATCGTGACTGCTTTATTACTATATGTGCCCCCGGTCCTGTTTTCAGGCAACTTTTTAAGCATGTGGTTAGCAATAGATGCATTTTTAACACCGTGTGTCCGGGAAAATTGATGTGCAGCGGTTGGTAAAGCTGTCTATGTCTGCAGTTCAAATGTGTGGTGGAGTTCCGATTTAGACAGTCGCGTTACACCCTGTAATTCAAACGTCAACTCAAACCTCGCTGCTCTGGAAGTAGAGTGACAGGAAGAGGAGCAGGCCGGGTGTCAGCTTTCACTGGCACCACAGAGATATGTATGTGTGTGTGTGTGTGTGTGTGTGTGTGTGTGTGTGTGTAAGAATATCTGTGTGTGTTGCATCTAAATGTGAAAACACAATGCGGAGTGACGTCATACTCCGGGTATGGTAGTGTGGGCAAAAGTGGCACTTATTGTTTGACTAATATAGAACCTGAGCAGACTTTCTGGGCTAAACTAGCTTTTTGTACTCCAAGAGTGCACATGTATGGTTTGTTTTTTTTATTTTTTTTATTTTACACAGCTCTGGTTGTATCTGTCTGTTTGGTAAACACGTTGTCTTCATCAGTTCCAACTCTAAACCAAAGACTTTCCCACAGTGGAGGAAAGTCAGGACCAACAGATGCAACATAGGGATTGAAAAACATAAAGTAAACTTTCCCAGGTTGGGTGACGGCTTCTCTCAGCCCCTTCAATCAGAAGTGAAACCTCCTCCTTCCACTGCAAAGAGAAAAAAAAAAAAAGCTCTGCCGTCAAATTTAAGGTCAAACATTCAACCAATTGGCTGCCAGTGAGCTCTGACTGATAAAATGTCATAAAGTCAACCTGGCCCATCCATACATCCATCATCTCTACACCTTAACCTTCACTAGGGTCATGGGGGGCTGGAGTCTATCCCAGCTGACTCAGGGTGAAGGCAGGTTCACCTGGACAGGTAACCAGTCTATCACAGGACGCGAACCAGCGACCTTCTAGCTGTAAGGCGACGGTGCTAACCACTGAGCCCCAACCTGGCCCACTGTCATCTTTACACTTGATCAAAGAAAGGTCATTTCAAGCAATTTCAAGCTTCTGCAGACGGTCAGCCAATGTTTTGGTATATCCACAGGCCTTCACACTGCCATCTATAAATGCCACCTCCCCAGCATCAGTTTTACTCACTTTCATTGCACTAAATTTCTATTATGGGGCCGGTATTTTCAAGACAGTCTTTTTAAAGTGTATTTTTTCTAATTTTATAAGAGGAAGAAGTCCGCTGTCCAACTTAGAAGTAATGCAAATATTGAGAGGTGGTAGAGTTTTGAATTATTTGACATTTAAGTGACATTGCACAGACGTGTACTCACTTCTATTGGATACTATAACTGTAAGAGTACTACATTTACATTTACATCTGCAGTTTGTGCAGCGTCCTGTGCGGCTACAAAACAGATTTAGATTTCTTACACTTTATAAAATGACATCAAGTGTTTTGGAAACAAACAAACACCTCTGACAGTTAAAAATGTTGTTCAGCTCACTGTTTTTCCTGAGCTCCTTGTTTGCTTTAATAAGAATTCCTCTCATGTTATTAATGTTTACTCCTTGCTAAACAGGAAATTGCTGGTATTACTCTGGGATATTTACAAGATCTCATCAGGCCACACTGGTGTTCAGCGCAGGACGTACAGTAACCGAGGGAAACACTTGTGGGTCTATGCAGTTAAGGCAAACTTAGCAGCACACCTTGGAAATATATCTTCCTTTATACAAGTGAAGCTTGGTTAACACACATGTGCCACTGGTGTCTATTAATTTCTCACAACTTTGTCCTAAATTATCGGGGGTAACAGAAGCAGTTTGATCAATAGTGAAAGCTGCTGCCGCGATATCCTGCTTACAAAGGAAGCATAAATCACATGTCATCAGATTTAAATCTGTCTCAATTACTCATGCCCCCATTACTCTCTTTCTCTGCCTCTGTTTTCCAAAAAACTCAGAAAAGATACATTCTTCATGAATACAAAGGGGCGATTCTGTGCAGCCGCCGGGCTTGAGTCATAGACGGAGCCATGGGGGGTTCAGCTGCCGGGTGAAGAGCCGGGCTTGTTGTGTTCTGGACTGGAACAAACCTAGAAATGAAACCAACAGACACTGGTGCTATTTAAGTTGTGCACTGCTGAATAATTCTTCATTTTGCATGTGGGGAAGCTTTCCAAACTTTCACCGGGCGCTTCCAACAGTCATTCTAACAATGACACAAATATGAAAAGCCATTTCAGCAGTGATAGTTGCCAGTCACACCCAGTTCCTGTTGACTTAGCCTAAGCTGCTGGATTACTGCTCTCCTTTGTTGTGCGTTGCTCAAGACAAATCATTTAGCTACACCTTCACGGCCACGATAATTAGCCGCTTTGAGTATCTGTGTCATCAGAGTTCACCGGGCCTCTCTTTTTTGTAATGGCTCTGAAACAGATGCTGCTTAACTCTCTTGTTGTCTGAAGAAGAATAGTGAAGTTGAAGAGCACAAAACTGAAGTGCAGTGAACTTCAAGCTTTCTGTACGGCCTATTTCTGTCCGACTGAGCTGTCACAATATCGCGCATTCCAGCATGAGCGCACTGTGGGGTCCAGTGCCGCCATCAATGGCTCCTCTGTGTCGCCGTCACCTCAGAGACAACAGGAATGCTCATCCACTGCAGCCCCTCCCTCGCTGCGAACACCGAGGCCTGGACGGAGGATGGATTGGTCTGTCTGAGGGGTGAAGCTAACGGCACACAGTGAGGCAGAGAGAGAGGGAACAAATGGCAAGAGAGCAGAACAAAGTGGGCAACAGGCAGTGATTAAAAAGAAAAAAGAAAGACAGAGGCAAGATGTGACTCATAACAAAACAGAGCCAAAGTCAAACAGGCAATACAGCACAAGATAAAAAAAAAGAAAAAGAAGAAGAGGAAACGGAGTTATTTATAAGAACTGTTCTATGTCCTGTCTAAACTGTCACATTACCACATATGAAGATAAAACTTTAATTCTCATGCATGGAAACAAAGAGAATAGATAAATCACTTTCAAGGCCTTTATGATGCCACCAAAACCATTTCTATACACCTTCCTCATGCAAAGTCTGCATTTATTTCTACACAAGCAACAGTTTGTGTTCCTCATCCAACGTCGAGGCAGATCTCTCCTTTCCATCATCTATCTCATGTCTCAGCAGACCCCAAACAGGACGTCTGTTTATTCGGGGAGGGGGAGGCCCAGAGACGGAGGACAGCCTGACATTTCCTGTCCACATGCCAAGAAAAAGACATTCTTCTGCCGGCACCCTGTATTTCCTGTCTGCCTTTATACTGTAACTGAAAGACATGTTTCACACGACAGGCCCTCCGTGTGCTGCCCCATGCTCAACAATTAGCGACGACGCTTTCCAAAATGACATATTTACCCACTTAGGATGCTGATACACATTTATGTCTTGCTTGAGGTTTTTTAATTGGTGTTTAAAGTCATGCAGAATTCAATAAATCAGTTTAATAAACAACATTCCCCCACCTTTAACCGCACATTCAAGCCCTATTCAATGTAAATTCCATTTGACAGACATGAAAAAAAAAACTCATTTTAAAAACACTAAGAAAGGAGACTAGATGCAAATAATGGAAACAGAAAATATAAAGCATACAAATATCTAAAAATATATAAGCTAACTACTAACACAGAAACTAAAAACTAAATATGAGGTCAATACTTTAATAGCTTCTATATATTTCCAAGCAGATTAAAAATAGTTTAGCACAAACTTCCTGAGCACAGCCGCTTTGTGATGGCCGAGCTTGCAGCCATCTTAACCATGAAAGCTGGTAAACCCAGGAACCACTTTAAAGTTGAGACGCTTCACACACATTGCAAACAATATAAAAACACATAATTTATCATTTCAAACGTTTATTTAGCCTTTTTATTTGTAGGGTGCACATGTAGTTAACGTCTGTATTGTTTAACTTGCAATAACCTGTTCTGTGTCTCATGGGACTCACTTCAGACAGAAGATGGCCAAAGGAGGACCAGGTTTTTATACCAGAGCTGCCAATCAGACCATACCAAGTGCCCGCTACTTCAAGGGGTGGACTGGGTTTATTTCATTTAAATATTACTTTATTCGTTTGACTTGTGTTGGGCAGTTAGATATATTTTGGGTTTGTTTGATATTATTATTGTGATTAAGCAGGTCAGCTGTGCTGTTTTGTGCTTTTTTATGTTAGTTTAGCTGTAGCTGTTTTAGGTTTCCCCCTATTGTGTGTAACTGGTTTGATCAGACCTTTGATCCAGGTGTTGCAGGACATTCAGAGTTTGTTGGTGCTGTTGTTTTGTTGCTGATGTCCTCAGTTAAGTTCTGTTCTTTGACCTCTTTTATGAACCAGGATTTTGTTTTCTGTAACTTTCCTCATCGTTTTTGGGTAAAATAAAACCCTGTTTGGAATTCACCTGCGAGTCCTCCTGCTTTGCAGCTTGATAAATCATGGTCTTGTAGAGCAACAGATTTTCTCCATCACATTATGTAAGTGGGGGCTGCAAGGTTCAGCAACATGTCCAGGGTTTTAAACGGTGCGAAGTAGACAATGAAGCCTTTCACCTGCTGCTGCAATATTTGCAGGATGATAAACACATTAATTTCCGTAATGCTTTTCCCCCACTTGCCTCCACTTGTGTTTTTTACTTTCATGCCACTCCGTGGGTGGATGAGTCACCTGTCCCACTCATGAAGAACTGCATTACAGTCATTCTGTGGGAGGTTCAAGTACCAGCCTCACCATGGCTCCACAAACACTGTGAGGATGAAACTCTGTGTCACTGTGTTTCTGATCGGTTGACTAAGCTGCTGCTCCTCAGGGCACAAATGTCTACAGCACATAAGTGCCTCTCCTTTGGTTTTATGGAGCGACAGCTTATTTTTGCTCTAGTTTGCAGTGAGACACCTGGAGGGTGAGTCACAGCGTTCATGAGTCATTTTCTCTTTTAGACGTTTCAGTGACAAGGTTTCATGACAAGATTCACACTTTAACGCAAAGGCTGTGCCGGAGCACAATGTGGACACTTTTTCGACCCTTTGGGATTTATTTTTACTTTAACAGCTGTTAGGTTGATCTTATGAAAGCTTAGTAAGAAGACAATCACTGGTTGAAAGCGCCATCTGCTGCCTCGGGACTCTACTGACATCAGAAACGCTTGTTTCTATCGAACCGTGTCTACAGGGAGCTGACACAGAAAATCCGCTTTAACGAGGTCACAACTGGGACTTTCTTGATCGTGACTGCTGGCAAAGGAGCTGGGTGCGTAAAAGACGACCTGTGCGTAAAAGACGGTCTGTGCGCGCCGCAGCCCACCACTCAGGTGACGCCCACATACTTCACTCCTCGCTGTTTCGCTCCTAAATGGGATGTAGAGGACTTGATTTCACTGCGCTTTGCTTGGTGGCATCTTCACAGCTGGGAGACATGAGTGGTAAGTGAATATTTAAGACTTCAATCACGATTTGAAGACTGATTTTCTGTCGCTCAGTTAGCGTGACTGTGCTCCAGTATAAGTATTAAGGTTCTCAGATCGGGCTTCAGGTGTGTCGACAAAATGAAAAAGACTAGCCAGCTCGGAAGCACGTATAGCTCACCCTCACATTTCATACAGTAATCATATTGCCCAATGTTGCACAGGTTTTAGAGCAACCCAAATGACTCACTGTTTGTGTCTACAGATAAATAACCTACTGGAAAGTGCTATTAGTTTAGTCAACAAGTGATCAGGTTGCCTAAATGTGGTTTTAAAAATGTATATTATTCAATTGTTTTGGTACATACATTTAAAAAATAATTGTTCTTTTCTCTCAACAAAATAAGTTAAGTTCCTGGTGATTTAACACTCCTGGAATATTTTCAGTCATATCGAATATTTATCATTTACTAAAGTTTTTTTTACTTTACTCAAAATTGGCTTTTAAAGTTCTTAGTTTTAGTGCTTTTCCAAAATTGTGAAGTAAGTCAAGTCTGTAAGCAAATGATCGGTTTAACAATCTCCTAAAAGTCAGATCAACAGGTTTAAGTCTCCATTTTGCAGTGCAGATGTGAGATCAGGGGTTTGTATTCCAATGTGGGTCACTGTTTCCTTTGAGTGTACCGAGTGGTAATCACTGGTGAGCAGGCTGTTTATGGGTAATGACAGACATTCCAGAGCATCCCAAACCTGCCTCAACCTGCCCGCTAAGCGTAGATGGCTCTGATCAGCTGCACAGGGGCAACAGGAAACTCACTGCTATTAATGGTCATCACTTGGAGAGCTACAGTGGGTAAATATTCGTTTTCATTGTTGACTGATCTATAGGCTTTAACTGGAACTGTGACTCACTACATCGTCAGGCCAGAACAAATAGTAAAAAAAAATAAATAAATAGTTCAGCAAGCTAGTAAGAGCTTTCCACGCCTTGCATCACTGATAACACAATCAGCACCTCTTTATTTACTACGACTACATACTTCAGGAAATAGACATTAGTGTAGTTCAACAGGCACACACTGGCAGCGGCTGTTTTATTCACTTTCCTTGTCTGCTGAAGTGAATGGGGTTGAGAAAGCTTTTGTCTGCGGTCCCCTGGTGTGTTTTTAGGTGTGCGATATGAGTCACGGTGATGTTTTCATTCCCGCACTGTGAGACAATGACCCACAAAGAGTCATCCCCACTAATCTGACCCTCGTATCAGCAGACCTTACAACAATTAAACCTCGTCTGCTGTTCATTACCTCAAATAATTTGGCTTTAAACTTATCGAGGCGTCATCTTAAGTGGCATTAAACAGCATATCTGCCATCCGTGCAGGGTCGATGGCTTCCAGTCAAAGGCTTATCTGTGAGACTGATACTTTGTCGGGCGAAAATCCCCCGAAGCATTCCTTGGAAGATTTCCAGTAAAGAGCTTCATCTCACTCCTTCCCTCTGCTGCAGATCAGTCCAGTAATCTTTTATGAATCCTCAACAATGTCTTCTATTATACAGCCAGACAAAGAAAAGCACCGTGCAGACAATTTTAAGTAGGGGTTAAAAGACTTTATTTGTTTACAACGCAGACAGACTGCTAATGTTTAGAATGATGGAGTTAAGTCAATGCTCCATCAGAAAAATATCTAATTTAGGGATGGACATAAGATATGGGCTGCAAGGTGGCTCGGTGGTTAGCACTGTTGCCTCTCAGCTAGAAGGTCGTCGGTTGGCGTCCCAGTGAGGACACCCGGGATCTTTCTGCGTGGAGTCTCCATGTTCTCCCCGTGCAGCGTGGGTTCTCTCCGGGTTCTCCGGCTTCCTCCCACAGTCCAGAAACATGCTTTGAGGTTGATTCTAAATTGTCCGTAGGTGTGAATGTGAGTGTGCTTGGTTGTCTGTCTCTAAGTGTAGCCCTGTGATAGACTGGTTACCTGTCCAGGTGAACCTGCCTTCACCCTGAGTCAGCTGGGATAGGCTCCAGCCCCCATAGTGAGGATTAAGGTGTAGAGATGATGGATGGATGTCTTTTCCAAACCAGGCTCGTCTTCCTCAAATTTCTTGAACTAAAACAGTGTCTGGTCTCGTGCAGGTGTCACGGTTTGGGCGGAGGAGGGCGACATGGTTCCAGAGGAGGCGCGATCTTCTCCCCCGTGGACGGAGGAGCGCTGCGAGGAGCTGTGGGACCGCGTGGAGGGAGTACGACACAAGCTAACACGAATCCTCAACCCGGCCAAACTCACCCCGTACCTGCGCCAGTGCAAGGTCATCGACGAGCAGGACGAAGATGAGGTGCTCAACTCCACACAGTACCCCCTGCGCATCAGCAAGGCCGGTGAGACGAAGGAGGGTGCATTTGACAACAAAATCATCCAGCATTACTTCCACGCAAAATAACCATTGTTTTTGTTCACCATGGAATTGATAAGCATGCAGCTGGATGTGCAACCTGCATTAACCAATCAAGCACAAATACACTGTTCTGGAAACACACTTTCAAATGAGTGAAACTGCAATATGACGGCCACCTTAGTTACCACAGATCATCCATCACAGTCATAATTCATAGTCATAGTTTAAATCTTAACACACAGACGCTTAGATTCAGCAACTTTTATCTTGAAGATGTCATTATGTGCCATGCCTATTACAAATAAAGACCCCAAATCTGCTTACAAACCATAAAAAAGACTCTAATTGTGTTTTCAGGCTCTCTTTAGTGTCAGATTGGCAGTTTTACATCTATGGCCATGTTGCAACAGAGTCCCAGTGGTGCCAGAATGCTTAAAATCCCTCCAGTCATCAATTAAACCTCTAAAAAAAAAAACCTCATCTTTGTGCATCAGAGTTACACATTCTTTATGAAAACCGCTCCTTTATGCTTTATAATGGTTTAGACGTATCTCTGCCATGTTGCCTCTGTAACATCCCCGTCCCATTCACTGCAGCTCAGCACAGCAGCTCACCTATGACTCTGCTCAAACCCTGTAAAACTGATCAGTGTTGTGCAATACCAAGACCAGACTAGACTGCTGATTTCACTCATCATCACAAAAGGGATCACGTGAATTTCTTGCATTGCGTTGGAAGACAGGCAACTGACCAGCAACCTTCCAAGACGCGCTGATCTGGGTAATGCACAGTTTACGTACGAGGATTCTTCTGTGAAACTCCCAAAGCAGAAACGTGAGTGATTGTGCAACAGGTTGGGTCGTAAAGATAAATATTACAGTGAGAGAAGTGAGCAGGAACTGAGGAGAGAGTAGGATGAAAGGCTTTGCTAAGTAAAGGCAGAGAGGGAGGAATGAGGAGTGAACAGAGATAAAGACGGAGGGATGAAGACGAGCAGCTGGTCCAATGCCGAGTTCATATTGTTTCATTGCTGGTGAGTTAGCTCATGCTTCTGTCAGTCATCCATCATGTTCATGTTTCAAATACCTATGTAAGTACAGAGATACTGTAGCTCACATCAAAGAAGCAGCATTTCTGTGGTTAGACTGATCGTTGACAGAAACAAAAACGCTGACATGAACTTGTGTCGGTTTATTCCTTTTGACACAATTTCACCCTTTGATGCTGTGCTCGGTTGTTAGCGTGTTGTCTCGCAGCTAGAACAGGGATCTCCAACTCCGGTCCTCGTGAGCTACTGTCCTGCAGGTTTTAGACGTTGCTGCAACACACCTGACTCAGATTAATGGATCATTAACAGACTTGTGTAGAACTCGACAACAAGCTGTTGGAGATCCATTAGTTTGAGTCAGGTGTGTTGCAGTAGGGAAACGTCTAAAACCTGCAGGACAGTAGCTCATGAGGACCGGAATAGGAGATCCCTGAGTTAGAAGGTCGTCAGTTCACGTCCCGGTGAGGACACCCGGGATCTTTCTGCGTGGAGTCTCCATGTTCTCCCCGTGCAGCGTGGGTTCTCTCCGGGTTCTCCGGCTTCCTCCCACAGTCCACAAACATGCTGAGGTTAATTGGTGATTGTAAATTGTCCGTAGGTGTGAATGTGAGTGTGCTTGGTTGTCTGTCTCTAAGTGTAGCCCTGTGATAGACTGGTTACCTGTCCAGGTGAACCTGCCTTCACCCTGAGTCAGCTGGGATAGACTCCAGCCCCCCATGACCCTAGTGAGGATTAAGGTGTAGAGATGATGGATGGATGTTGTGTTTGGGGCAGTGAATTATATCAGTGTTTCTGTTTATTTCTCTTTTGTCGAACAGGCCGTTTGCTGGACATCCTGCGTGGTCAGGGCCAGCGAGGTCTTCAGGCCTTCATGGAATCCCTGGAGTTCTACCATCCGGAGCAGTACACCCAGCTGACAGGAGAGAAACCGACGCAGCGATGCTCCCTCATACTGGGCAAGTAGAGGTTTTCTTTTATATCTGGATGGAAAGAATCGTTGCAGAGCTGTTGACTTCAGTCAGGCTTGAGAAAAATCACCCAAAACATTTCCATGACATATCAAAGTGTGAAGTGGATGATAACTGTTATGTACAAGTGGGACTCGTGTGCAAAAGCGTGTGTTTTTAAAAGAATAACTGACATCAATTATTCCATGTTTAATGATTTTGTAAGGGTTAGGAAGAATGAAAGGAAAGGAGGGCATCAAAAGATCAAAAAGCGATACCTGATTTAAATTTAGCCACTATCTCCATCCAAATCAGTGCTCCCAGAGCTCCAGCAGCCCTCATGATGCCCCCGAGACATCTTGTTATGTAATCATGTCAAGTACCATCTGAAATGCGCGCTGGTTTTCCTAATCTGTACCAATCTTTCCGCTTGAACTTTGTTTTGGGGGGAAAATGAAGATGCCACGAAGATGGATCTGGTGAGTTGGGCAGGTGGAAAGAGACTATTGTGTTGCCTTGGGTATCGAAACCAGCACATTCAAGCCCTCACACGCCACAGTTCAGATCGTTTAAACATCCTCCCTCAGTCGCCACAGGATGCTCACTCTGCCCTGGCAGTCAGACGCTGGATTTGCAGCGCCTTATAGTATAAATGTCAAAGAAAAGAACAAGCATCCTCCTCGTCCTCCTGACCTCTCTATCCCTTGGTGGTGGCCGCAGACCCAGCTCTCCTCACCAGTGATGATCCTCCACATGAAAGTTGGATCATTCTGCCGCTGATTGCCACAGAATGATGTTGTCTTCTCCTCTCCAGCTTGTGTGTAACTCGGTTCTGGCTGTTGATATCACATGGTGTCAGGTGGTCTGCTCGGATCGCAGCTCGTAGAATATTTCATTTATATGCACTTACTTCAGTGGACATAAACAGATGCTTATGTTCGCAACTGTCGCTCTGTGAAGAACTGTTTCAGAAAAATATTTATTGATTTCATTTAGTTTGAAATTAACTAGTTCTCATCTTCATTTTTACGTTATTTGGAGACTAGCTCAGTCCCACTTATGTTTGCTGGGCGTCTATAGGGTGGTATGAATTATTCTTTACTGACGCATACGAAACAAAGAATAGCTGTCCTTTCTCCTCGCATTGCACAGATGAACTAATAACCTCCATACTAATAAGCTCCTCTGTCCTTCTCTCCCCAGATGAGGAGGGTCCGGAGGGTTTGACTCAGTTTCTGCTGCTGGAGGTGCGTAAACTGAGGGAGCAGCTTCGAAACAGTCGCATGTGTGAGCGGCGCCTGTCTCAGCGCTGTCGGATGGCAGAGGAGGAACGCAGCCGCGCTGAGCACAAAGCTCAGGAGCTACGTCACCAAAGACTACAGCTAGAAAGGTTTGGCTGTTATAGGTGTCTTTGTTTGTTCCCGTACGCTGTTTTTTCCTCAGATTAAGGCTGTGAAAAGAAAATCTTGTATCAGAGAATGATTGATTAATGACATTTAAGAGATTGGGTGTGAATTTACAGATTCGTAACAATGATCATGCAGATTAAGTGAGTTATTTAAAAAAGACGACAGCGAATATTTTTGCCGTAGTTTTTTTTTTCTCATGCGCTATTTTTACACAATAATGAGTCAGTAAGAATTAATAAGAATGTGTGCATCTGTAGGCTGCGTCAGGACTGGGAGTCAGCCAGTCGAGAGCTGGGAAAGCTGAAGGACAGACACCTGGAGCAGGCTGTGAAGTACTCCAGAGCCTTGGAGGAGCAGGGCAAAGCCTCAAGCCGAGAGCGGGAGCTGCTGAGGCAGGTAGGTTGTTAGGAGGTAAAAGACGAGGAAATTCCTTTATGTTCAGTTAGTTTTCTATTAGGGCTGCAGGTGGTTCGGTGGTTAGCACCGTCGCCTCGCAGCTAGAAGGTCACTGGTTGACGTCCCGGTGAGGACACCCGGGATCTTCCTGCGTGGAGTCTCCATGTTCTCCCCGTGCAGCGTGGGTTCTCTCCGGGTTCTCCGGCTTCCTCCCACAGTCCACAAACATGCTGAGGTTAATTGGTGATTGTAAATTGTCCGTAGGTGTGAATGTGAGTGTGCTTGGTTGTCTGTCTCTAAGTGTAGCCCTGTGATAGACTGGTTACCTGTCCAGGTGAACCTGCCTTCACCCTGAGTCAGCTGGGATAGACTCCAGCCCCCCATGACCCTGGTGAGGATTAAGGTGTATGGATGATGGATGGATAGTTTTCTATTATGACCCCAAACTGATTTGCATCTGTTGACTTTAAGGTGCTGTTATGTGTGCTGGAAACTTTATATTACTGCTTGTAAGGCACACGTTGCCTCAAAAGCATGCCATACGTAGAAAACAAGACCTGTTTTTGTAGGTTGTGGGAGGCTCGGGGGAAGAAAACAAAGAAGTTTCGATTGATGGCATGAAAAGGCAGCGAATAATTGCCCCCCTGGCAGTTCACTGCTTGAGCTGAAACACATCAACTAGAACAAGAGGCTAAACAGAGCGTTACCGAGCAGCTGCACTGATGTTATCAACCACCTTTTATTTAATGTAGTTTGTGTGCTGTCACAACATGTCGACCACACTGCTCAGGTATGAAGCAGTTGGCTGCAAATAGCTGCAAATCTCACAGATAAACTTTTTATCCTTTAAGCTGCTAATGTTGATATCCAACTGCATTTTTTCTCATTATGCTCCTATTAGCTTATCTGCACTGTGCCGATTAGTTTATTAGTATAAGAATGTCGTATTGCTGACATGACTGTCATTAGTAGTTTCAGTAGAAAAAGCTTTTTCTATTTGTGGTCTTTCTTCACACAGGTAGAAGAGCTTAAGTCCAGGCTGTCAGAGGCAGAGAAAAACACAACTGATGCTGCAGAGACGACCAAAACAAACTCTACTCGCTCTATCGGAGTAAATGGCTCTCCGCCTGCTTTGCCACAAAAGCCGCTGCGCTTCACCGAGGTGCAGAAAGCCGAGAATACAGAGAAACTCGGTTCCCTTTTAAATTATACACACTTTATCATCTGAAAACATCTTGTGAAGACCTTGTAAGAACCTTTTGTGGTGGCGTTTATCTTCGGCATGTCTCAGGCTCTGATGGACATCCTGCAGCAGGACCGCAGGGAGGCTGCAGAGCAGAGGCAGGAGCTCTGCGAGATCATCACCAGACTACAGGGGGAGCTACAGAGCAGCGAGGAGCACAGAGACAAGGTGAAAAGTTGTCTGAATCCAGAGGTTTAAAGGTTCAAATAGGTGCCCAGACAGTGGTTTATTCGTGGGTGTTTATTGTTCCTGCCTTTGAATGAAGGCTGTAATGTTGACCTGTGTTTGCAGTTGGAGTCGCAGTGCGAGCAGCTACAGCTGAAGGTGAGGACTCTCCAGCTGGACTGGGAGACGGAGCAGAAGAGGAGTTTGTCCTATTTCAACCAAATCATGGAAGTGGAAAAGGAGAGAGATCAGGTCTGTATAAATAGAAGGTGCGAATCCAACCTGGGCACAAATGTCGAATGGGGCTGAACAACTAGTCAAAATATTATCCAAATCGTAATATTGCCAAGTCCAATGTCAAAATCTGAAGAGATCAATTTGTTTTGATGAAGGTAAAGTGTGATACATACATACAATTATAAAGGAAGCATTGTGATGGTGCAGAGGCGCCACAAATCATATGCTGCAGATCTAAAGGAACATGTTTCAGGCTGCAGCAAAAATCACATCAATATTTTTATATCTTCTTCTTCTTCTTCTTCTTCTGCATTACATTTTGTATATTTGTGTTTGTGACCAATGAAGGCCTTGAACCTTGAAAACATTAGTCATAACGGTTTTTTTACACATCCTTTAGCCGTAGTTTCTAACCGTCCCAGAGTGCTGACTCCTTCTTCATGAATCCCCTTTACGATGGAGCCTATTCTCCGTCTTTGTGCCCAGGCCCTGCGTAGCCGGGACAGCCTGCAGCTGGAGTACACCGACTGTCTGCTGGACAAGAACCGTCTGCGTAAACGCATCGCGGAGCTGCAGGCCAACCTGGAGCAGCAGCAGAGAGAGCTGGAGAGGGAGAGGGAGAGGTGCCGGGAGCAAATGGATCAGAGCAACCCCTGTCTGCACTGCGTGAGTTACTGCAGGAGTCTGTCCTGTCCACCACAGAACATGTCGTCCATCTAAGCATTCCATGTGTCTGCTCCCCAGTCCCACCTGTCTCTGTGCAGCGAAGACCAGTGCTTTGGGCCCTGCTGTTCCCTCGGGCTGGACCTGAGCCCCCAGCCCAACAGCGCTCATCTGATACTACGAAAGGTCGGTGCTGGGTTTCATCCACATGGTTAAAATAATTCTTAATGCACACTGCCGATCAAAAGTTGTAGAACACCCCAGTTTTTCCAGTTTTTTTGTTGAAATTTATGTAGTTTAATGTCTCATTGTACCACTGAAATCATGGAATCAATTTATAAACCAAAATATAGTCATCAAAGTGGCCACCTTTGGCAGATGCAACAGCTGAACACACTCATTCTTTCCACAATGGAAATCAAATATTCTTTAGAAAGTTCCCATAAATGTGTGGCACTTGTAGGTCGCTTTGCTTTCACTCTTCTGTCGAGTTCATCCCAAACCAGCTGGATGGGGTTTAAGTCTGGAGACTGTGCTGGCCACTCCATGTTTTCAAGCTCATCATTTTGTTGTTTTTTTCCTAAGGTAGTTCTGGCATAGCTTGGACTCATGTTGTGGGTCATTATCTTGCTGTAGGATGAACCCCTGACCAACTCGATGCGTACCAGAGGGTACTGCATGGCGCTGCAGAATGCTGCGGTAGTTATTTTGGTTCAGGTTGCCTCTGAGCCCCACACCATCACGCCTCCTCCTCCATGTTTGACAGATGATGTCACACACTGAGGAACCGTCCTTTCACCTACTCGACGGCGTACAAAAATCCTGTGTGATGAACTAAAGTTTTTAAATTTTGATTCATCAGTCCAAAACACCTTCTTCCAGTCTTCAGTAGCCCATTGGCGGTGTTTCATGGCCTAGACAAGCCTCTTTTTCCTATTCTGACGTCTTAGTAACGGCTTTCTTGCCGCAACTCGACCCGTCAAACCTGCAGCTCGGCGTCTTCTCTTCACAGTTGAAACTGAGACTTGCTTTCTACGACCACTGTTGCGCTGTGCTTGAACTTGTTGCCCTGTGAGCCGCCTATCACACAAGCTGTTGACTCTCAGAAACTTTTCTTCTAAATCTGTTGTGGCTTTGGGTCTGCCAGACCTCTTCCTGTCAGAGTTTCCCCCAGTTTCTGAGTTTGCTTTGACGGTGAAGCAAACCGTGTTCACTGACACTTTGACTTTCTTCGCAGTCTCTCTGTAGGAAAGACTTTTTTAATTTTATTCCATTATTAATTGCTGTTTCCTCTGCATTTTCATAGCAACGCACTACTTTCTGCAATACAATACTGTTCAAATAATGCTCACGAGGGTTTGGTACCACATTGTGTTCCAACACTACGTTTATGCAGACAGAGTGGGTTGTAAGTAATCGAGACAATATGGGACACCTGTGGGAATTGGTAGCAACAACTTTCAAGGCCTGATCAACCTCCAGTTATGCAGAACAGCTTGAAGTTGTTTATTTCTTGTTCCCTGAAAAAGGCCTTTTTGTATAATTCTAAAATGTACATTATTGTTCAGTCCTTTTTTTAAGCTCTGGCAGTTCACCACCTACCTTTGTATCACTTCAAGTTATCCATTGGACTTGAAATGCTTGAATTTCAATCAAACAAACAGTTGCCGTGTTTTGGAGGGAATGTAGCTTTTGGCCCTCAAAGCACATTTCTTCAGCAAGACAAGGATCTTATTACTGTTTCAGAGAGTGAGATGTTGTAATAAACTCTTATGCAACTCTCAGCTTGCCCCTACCTGTACAGCACCTCTCACTAGCTGCCAGCTGACACCAGATTAACTCATCTTTTCTGTGTGACAGGCGCCCTCTGGAGGCCAGGCCAACGAAAACTCGGACAGTAAGTCGTATGCACTGGCTGCTGGAAGATGCTTCTGCAGTTTTGCATGTGAAGATGCTTTTGCATGTTAGTTTACACAAAGACGGTGTGGCTGTTACTGACTGCAAACGTTCTCTCCGCTGATCCTCAGATTCTCCCTCCAACTCAGATGAGAACCTCTTGTCATCAGTGAGTATGAAAGCTCTGCTCTTCACCAACAATGAGAGTAAAACGTGACAAAGAATGAGGCTGAGAGTCACCGTCTTCATATTTATCCCCTCCACCCTCAGACACAAGACGACGAAAAGGAGATAAATCGTCTTTCCATATTCCCGTTTCCACCTTGTATGAACTCCATCAACCGCCGGTTTAACACAGAGTGAGTTCATCGATCACACAGAACTAATTCTCAACCAGTTCGGACTTACGTTTCACTTTCATTGCTTTTAACTGACATCCTCCTTGTTCTGCCCCACAAAGGTTTGACTTGGACTCGTGGGGCAGTGATGAGAACGACAACATCACAGGTATTATATTTGAGGAGTTCATTTGCAAAAACAGATTACTCCATTGCTGTAGATTTTCAGAAAACTGTTTTTTGTTGTTGTTTGCTTGAGATAATATCAACCAAACTGAAGCTGAGAGGATTTGACTCAGTAGAAATGACAAAAACAGAGATAACTTAAGTTTGATTGATATCAGGTAGACGATGGAAAAGTGGATTTTCTGAAGGTTTATGAAGATGGAGGTATCTGTTTTTGCAAATGAGCTATTCTTTTGATTCTTTCTTGTTTTGCATGAACAACCGTCACAGTTTTCTCTGCAAACAAAATAGTCCCCATCCCAAGTTGGGGTAATTAACTTCTGTTCGCTATCTGTCTTAGAGGGGGGAAAATCTATCTAATTTCTGAACAACAGTCTTATTCAGACATGGGATATCTAGCATTTTTATTTCATCTTTATGTCAGAGTGCGCTCATTCATGCGCTCCATTTCATAAAAGAAAGGAACGTGTGAAAGAGGGCTCTGATTTCTATTTTTACATGCAGGATCAAATCAGTACAACAAACTTAAAAAGACGTTTTCTCCAGTTACGTTCTCTGAGTACATTGTGAGCTGATGTTAGGAGGCTGCTTGGTGTTTTCAGGTGAACAGAATGACCCTTCCCTGTGGGACTCCTGTGCCTCCTTACACTCCCATCTCTTCCCCCCTGACCTGGTCAACCTGCCCACAGTCTCTTCACACAACGCCGTTCCCAGTGCTTCCAGGTACAGCCTTACAGTTCTGATGCCCGTCTGTGACAGCCAGTTAAAGCTGTGTTAAAGCGTCGACTCATGTAGTTTATTCAGGCTTAATAACTGATATTGTCACTTACATGTTGCTCGCTGCATTGACTGACATTTTCATAGCATAATGATGATGCAAACAGCAGGATAAACATGTTGGGCGATTACGCAACAAACTTCATCACTGCTGTCTCATTAAACGTTAATGGGTCCGACGATTTTGAAAATGCTCAATACTCTAAGTGCATATGTTCTCATTATGTATGAAACTATGTGAAATATTACAACATAAAATAAGCAGAAAAGTAAATATACGTATCGACCCATCCTCATCTGTCGCTGCCCATCCTTGTCATCTCTTAGGAATCCTCCTTCCTCTCCGTCTCCGAGTCCCCCCGACTCGCCGAAGCACGGAAGAGCCAGTCTAGCGGATGATATCGTAATAGTCGGAGGAAACCGAACAGGGATCTTTGTCAGCCACGTGAGAGCTGGTTCCCCGGCTGAACAGTGTGGCCTGAAGGAGGGCAGTGAGCTGCTGGAGGTGTGAATAAATCGTCTACTAGGAAAATTGTGAATGCTTCATAAAGAGAGTCGTGCACAGTGCTGGATGAGTTTCTGCATGATGATGGTAGGAATGTGAGGCTGTAACATCACATGCAGTCTTGTCTTTATGTTTGTAGCTGGAGCGGGTTCTGTTTGGTGGCGGAAGTGTGCTGCTGGCTCAGTGCACGGCTGAGGTGGCCCACTTCTCTCTGCAGTGGTGGACCGAGCCCTCAACACTCAAACACCAGAGCAACCCAGAGGGTGAGTTCTGTCAGATCAACGTGAAACAGTGGTGTTCCTGAAACCTGGACCTCATTTCCCATAAAGTTAAGTTCATCCATGTCTCAGATAGACGACTAAGCTGTCCCCTTGTTCTGCCTCCTGCCCTCAGCATACTCTAAGCTCTGCTCCCAGCTGTCGTTGCCTACTTTTATGGGTGCTGATTCCTTCTACGTGCGCGTCAATCTCAACATTGAGCCTCACGGTGACCCGCCATCTCTGGGCGTGTCCTGTGATGATATTATACACGTCACGGACACACGGTACAACGGAAAATACCACTGGCACTGCTCCTTGGTTGACCCAAGCACAGCCAAGCCCCTGCAGACAGGAACGATGCCCAACTACAACAGGTATGCTAGTTAGTCTCCTACTTGACTGCCATATTTCTGGAGCCTGTGTTCTAATTCTTCCCATCTGTCTGGTTTGAATCATAGGAAATAGTGCGTAATTATGTCTGTGAAGATTCTCAGTCATCCAGGTCATGGTTATTCTTGTAGATTAATCGTAGCAACTGGACCTGCTTGAGATCCTTGAAGACATTTCACCTCTCATCCAAGAGGCTTCAGGCCCCTTCAGGATATCAGTATCTGGAACTCCCAACTAGTCAGTCAGAACTGATAAAGCCTCTTGGAAGTCCAGTTGTTACGATGAATCTACCAGAATAGTGTGTAATTCTGTTAAAATTAAGCACAAAGCAAGATGATTATGATAGAACTAGTAAATAACCTGGATTGCACTAATTTCCCTCTCAGGGCTCAACAGCTGTTACTTGTAAAGTTACGAAAAATGGCGCTGGAGCAAAAAGACTTCAAGAAGAAGGTAGTGAGGTCCCTCATATTGAAATTACATACACAGCATGCTCAGTTTCAATCATCAACTTAAAAACTATCATGGAAGCCCTTTAAACACTTGTTTTTTTTTTTTGCTTGCTCCATTTTTCTCCGTGCAGTTTTTAAAGAAAGCATCCGTCCGCGTACGGCTGGTGAAAGCAGTGGACCCCAGCTGCCGTGGGCTCGGTTCCACACAGCAGGTCCTCTACACGCTCAGCAAACGTGAGTTTCATCCACACATTGCCGAAATGCAATGACGTATTTTCGGGTGATAAATCCTAATTTTTTGCATTAATGTACATGCATGGGGCTGCAAGGTGTCTCGGTGGTTAGCATCGTCGCCTCGCAGCTAGAAGGTCGCCGGTCCGTGTTCCCGTGAGGACACCCGGGATCTTCCTGCGTGGAGTCTCCATGTCCTCCCCGTGCAGCGTGGGTTCTCTTCGGGTTCTCCGGCTTCCTCCCACAGTCCAGAAACATGCTGAGGTTAATTGGTGATTGTAAATTGTCCGTAGGTGTGAATGTGAGTGTGCTTGGTTGTCTGTCTCTAAGTGTAGCCCTGTGATAGACTGGTTACCTGTCCAGGTGAACCTGCCTTCACCCTGAGTCAGCTGGGATAGACTCCAGCCCCCCATGACCCTAGTGAGGATTAAGGTGTAGAGATGATGGATGGATGTACATGCATGTGTGCTTTTTCCCTGCAGGTCACGAGGAGCACTTAATCCCATATAGTTTGGTGCAGCCGGCGCAGGTTCAGACGAAGCGGCCGGTTATCTTCTCCCCGTCGCTCCTCTCCCGCGGTCTGATAGAGAGGCTGCTCCAGCCAGCAGAGTCGGGTTTGAAGTTCAACACCTGCCCACCAGGTATGTGCACAACACACGCACGACACCTCAAACACTAACAAAATTAACAGATGTTGATGGTTCTTCATGTGACCGTCACGTCATATTCTCCTCTGCGTCTTCTTTTCAGAGCCCATTCAGGCTTCAGAGAGACAAGACAAGAGAATATTCTTGCTGGACTCCTGCAGTCCGGAGCAGGCTCTGGGCATACGGCTGCAGTCGATACAAGACGTCATCAGCCAGGTAAAAACATCACAGAAGAAAACACACTCATACCTTCCCATCGCTTCCCTGTTTTGCTCTGAAGCTGTGATCATCAGAACATAAACATCCTAAATCTTCCACATCAAGATTCAAAAGGATGTTTGTGGGTAAAATCAGCAACATCATGCATTCAGTCGTTTTATGGAAAGAGAAGAAGACCATAATGCAAGTTGTAACACGTTGACCTGCTCTATCTTTGTCCCAGGACAAGCACTGTCTGCTGGAGCTGGGCCTGCCCAGTGTGGAGGGCTTACTGAGACAGGGCATTTACCCCATCGTCATCCATATTCGCCCTAAGAACAAAAAACACAAGAAGCTGAGGTAAGAGTACACTGAGTTGCTTTGCAAGTAAAATTTTTATTATACGTATTTACCTTTATTTAACCAGGAAGTCCCATTGAGATTAGAAATCTCTTTTACAAGGGAGACCTGACCAAGGTAGCAGCCATAAAAAACTAATATAAAACAGACAGTGTTGTATTTTCTTACTTATGAATACAAAAGAGGCCTCATTTGAAATAACGTATTCAATTCAACGCTTGACGCAGGAAATTCTTCCCACGGTGCGGGGAGGACAGCGTGATGGAGGAGGTGTGCCAGGCCGAGGAGCTGCAGCTGGAGACGCTGCCTCTGCTTTACTACACTCTGGAGCCCAACACCTGGAGCTGCACCGAGGAGCTGCTGGCCGCCCTACGCAACGCTATCCACAGCCAGCAGAGGGCAGTAGCCTGGGTGGAACTGGATCGGCTGCAGTAGAGGACAGATACAGAACATGTACTATGGATTCATAGCCTGAATACAACAACTTTACGTTAGAAAGTCAAAGTAGATTGCAGCTTTCTAGCCCAGCTGGACTGGCTACAGTGGAAGAAAAGTGTTTTCTTTTTTTTTATTATTAAACTGATTTGAGCCACATGACAGGTCTGTACTGACTTACCTGTTTCTGTATCAGTAGGAATTACGTTGTAATATTACTTTCTCAGACAGCTTCCTACACTTCAAGTTTTATTATATAACTGCTATTTTGAAATAACACCCAAAGGGATCACACAAGGTGCCCATTTATGAGCGATATAAGAAGCTATAAGGACACAAAGACAGATTAAAGTGTTAAAGGATTGTAGTATGTGGGGATGTAATGGAGGGTTAAAATCTGCTCACTTGCATTTCATTTTTAGTATCGACTTCTAGGCTGACACAGTCTTTTAGAAACAAAGTCCAGATCCTCACAATTTTGGACAGATACGTATTTTTCCTCACTCAGGCTTCACCAAATTCAGTTTGAAAATAATTAACTACAGATGCTCCAGTAAAATGGTGAGTTTTATGTTTACTTTGAAAGGGTTTGTATTTTTATTAAAAATATCCTTTCTTTAATCACTTGATTTCAAATTGAAAAGGCCGAAACACTGAGCCCCGAGAACAAAAAATGTGGTATCATCCAAATGCTTTGGACTACAGGACTGTAAACCTGTTGTATAGATCATACTAAAAGTATAAAAGGCCTTTAGTTATAGCAATTAATGTCTAATTACACTAGAGTGTACAAATTTTTTTTTAAAATGTCTTTTCTTTTGTAACCTGTTAGAAAAAATAAATTATTGTAAAACATTTTGACTTCACATGTGTATTCATAAACAAAAAGATGTCATTGTTTGTTTTTATGTTGACATACTGCACAACAGTGTACATGTAGACATCAGCACAGTAGCTACACTGAGTGAGGGAATAAACTGCACCAAATTATTTACACAAAGTAATGGGAAAAGAAATTAATTTTACATCTACAGACTATCAATCCACACTGTAATAAATACTATATGATGTCCTGAAAAGTGACAAAAATTGAGTGTTGCTCTGCTTGCACTATTCCTGTTCACGGGAATAAGAAGATAATTCAGTGCAAACTCGTAAAAAGGTGTTTTTAGACATCAGAATAAACACTTTGAATAGAATAGAACAGAATAGAGTCTTTGTTGTCATCATCATACGTATATATATAATAAAGGCTTTATTATATACATCATCATATACAAAGTACAACAAAATTAAAAGACAACTCCAGTGGTGCAAAATACAAGTATAAAAAGACAAATAAGAACATATAAATATATTTACAAGAGGAGCCAGTAGGAAGTATGTACAGTCAGGAATGAGCCACACGGTGGAATAAATATGCTGCACTGTTGACTGACTGTAAGTAAAGTTACAGAAACATCACAGTATGAATCGACATGAGCACAGTGACACTTAGCACAATGATCATATTTATACCTATCATAAATTATGGAATGGTGTTTGGCTTAATATTAAATAAAGAAATATGTTAATTTTTCCCGTTCATTATTTAAATAAGTCCCCTAAAACACCCGTTTTACAGATTCTACATGGGTTATGGAATGACTTTTTATCTAATGTTAAGTACACAGCCATATTTATGTATTTCATAAAAATGCATTCCTCTAATTAATGTTGATTTTGTTACATATTATAGTTTTTCTACGGAATTGCATTTTATATCATATTCAATAAATAAATATGTTAATTCATTCATTCCTTGTTTAAACAAAATGTCATTGTATTTAATATCAGATAGATAGATAACAACAACAACAACAATAATAATAATAATAATAATAATAATAATAATAATAATAATAATAATAATAATAATAATAATAATAATATAAGCACGTAATAATTGTGTTTGTTTTTATGTTTTCGTTAATTATGTCATATTTATTCATCTATCTATCTGTTATGGAATAAAACGTCATTCCACAAATACCTAAAGATGTTTAGAAAACAAAACAAATCGCTCCGTGTACGGGCACATCGCTTTCCTCTCGCGTGTTTACCGTGAAGCTCCGCGGGATCGGACGCCCTCTGGTGGCCGGTGCGGGTCGTCGCTCCGCTCCTCCTCCCCTCTCTGATCAACAAGCAGCCTGGTGATATAATATGCTGGCTAAAGCTCCACACAGAAGCAAAATGGCCGACAGTAAACTAACCGATCATACAGCGTCTGACAGTCATCAAGGGGTTATGCGTGTTTTGTTTACAGCTTGAGAGCTACAGTCGCGTTTAAAGGATACTCGCCTTCCTCCATTTTTTTCTACGATTAACATTTCGCCTTTCGGTGATGTCATTTCTTATTCAATTTAGCCTTGAAAGCCTCGAAGAACTAGCTCGCTAGGCTAGCAACCTTGCTAGCCTGCTAGCGGTAGGTCTGCAAGAATTTTTGCACAGAAGCACTTTATGTCCTGTGTGATTCCCGAGGTGAGTATCGAACACGCACGTAATGCGTTTGGTAGCTTTCACTGATTAACCGCATTGATCGTTTCTGTATGTGTACAGCCGATTACGTTAAGCTTTCTCCGTTGTTTTTTTTTTTTTTTTGAGAATAGCTTCGTTTGCTACGCGTTGAAATGCTGAAGAAACGTCACATAAGTTCGTCGTTTAATTTGGCTCCGTCGACCGTTAGTCCGCTCGCCGTCCGCTCGCTGGCCGGCCGGAGGTGTTTATGTGCCCGACGTAGAGTCAAAATAGTAAATAATGTAAATGAAAGGGACTGTGTTGGAGAATACGGGGCATGTCGTCGGTTAGTATGACGTGCCTGTTGTCTGCAGTCAACTGTGTCGAGAGGCACCTTGCTCTGTGACAGCTTACCGCCGAGAGCCCCGGCTCTTCAGGTCAAAGCCTCACCAGCTGCTTTAAAGTCGGCTACCATTAGCTCGCCTTCTCGCTGGGAGAAGCTCCTCTGGTGGTCCCTGCACAGCTTTACGTAGTCCGGCTCGTTTGTAATGCGGCTCCGGACACTCGCCTTGTTGAGGTTCTCCTGAATCCCACAGACCAGTTGTTAAAGGTGATGCCAACTGGGGCGCCACACGGTGAAGGGTTAACGCTTTAAGTTGTCCAGTTAGCTTACATTAGCGCCGTGTGTGTGTGTGTGTGTGTGTGACACGGTGCTAATTACGTGCAGCTTAGCTAACAGGAGCACTTGGCCCAGTCGTATTTACAGCTCTCTGGAATCTGAGATCGTTTTAATTTCCCATATGTGAACGGGCTTTTCTCTGCACCTTGCGGTATGTTTTTTTTTTTTCCACTAAAACTGGCTCACGTGACTTGGATGCGAGTCTTGTGTTGTTTGCTTATTGCATATGTTTACTCTGGGCAGGGTGGGAGGCAGCGAAAGAGCGTGTCCTTCATAACACTGGACAGATCACTCATTCATCATGTTCTCAGATTGAAGCTGGTATCCTCTGGATCATGCAGCCATCGCAGTCTCTACTGAAAAAAGTGACCTTTCCCGAAATGTTGTAGCGCTTAAAGTCATATGTTTGTTTGGCTGCTGCCTGTGTTGTCTCTTGGTTGGAATTGCAATCGTTTGCTGGTTAATGAATTATGCAGTGAGAAGCTAGGCTACCAAGGGCTGTTGTCAAGCTGTCTGCCCCTGGTTAACATTACAGTCCTTACAACATCGACTGTGTAGGAGGATACTTGGCAGTGATCTCATGAGCACATATTATTAATTTTGAGTCCAAGACTATATGTGTGTGTGTGTGTGTGAATTGTATGCTTTCGTGAGCATTAAATTACATTCATTGTGGCTTGAGTAGCATAAATAATTCAATGTGTACATTCCTCTTCACAGACAGGAGAATCAAGAAGGGGAACAGTAGTTCATGGAAGACAAGAAAAAGAAGAAAGAAGATAAAAAGAAAAGGGAAACCTCTCAGAAGGTAAACCTTGTTTTTACTTTGTACTGACAATCTGTGTGGTATTCCTCTATCAGGCGCTCACCACTTCCTTGGTTTGAATTGTTTTTGTTGAAATGAAGCTGATATGAATCAAAAAATTTTCTGTATTTTCTTTGATAGCTTTACTTTTTGGGCCAATGGCGTATTTATTATGTTTGCTTTAGCAGTGCTTTGCTCGTGTATATCTGTAGTAGTAAGAGCAAAGTGTAGTGTTCATGTGTTTATTTGTGAGTGGTTATCTTTATTTAAATCTTACTTTCTAACTTAAACTCTCCACTGTTTTGTTTCTGTTTTTATTCTTTTAGGTGCCAGAACCGAAAATCAAAGGTACGTTTATGTCATATTCACACTTCTCCCTTTGTCACTCGTCATATTTCATGTTACTGTGTCAGTGATATCACTCCTGTGCCTCATTTATGCATTAATCAACAGTGCCTAGTGCTTGTAGAAAGTTTAAGATGTTGTGATTTACAGTTTTTCTGATTGTGATTATTGCATTTTGTTGGTCACATGTAACTGCACGTCTGGACGGCCGATCTGTTTTTGTCACACTAAAGGCTAACCGTGAGTCACATCCTTATCTGTATGTGTGTTTCAGTGCCAGAATCAGCCAAGCCCTCCTCTTCCCAGCCACTCGCAACCCCAGGCTCAGTGTCCCCCAGCCCTGGCCCCGTTGCCCCCTCATCCCCCAGTCCTGGTGCAGTTGGGGTTTCTGCCCAAGTTCCTCCTGGTGGCGGGAACAATGCAAAGCAGCGGACTGCTGTGGCCAACGGACAGCCCTCCTCCTCCGTCTCTGGAAGTCAGACCTCCCAGCAGCAGCGATACATGTCTAGAGAGGTTCCTCCGAGATTTCGCTGCCAGCAGGACCATAAAGTGCTACTGAAGAGGGGCCAGCCACCGCTGTCCTCCATGCTGCTGGGTGGAGGAGGGGGGGAAGGGGGTGCAGGAGGGGTTGGAGGAGGCAGCGGCTGGGCAGGCGCCCCACCTCTTCCGTCGCAGGGAGCAGATAACCCCAATGCAAACACAGCTGGAGGCACAGGTGGGCTCGTTTCCGAGAACATGGTCAACTTTAATGTGTAATCCACACACCACAATGGTAGTTTTCTGCCTTAAATTAGCAAATGTCCAGGATTCTGCTTAGAAACACCACAGTGCATTTTACAGGTGATCCAGCAGCCATGTAAAAGGTTTTGCAAAAGGAAAACAGTCAATCAGTTGACCTTGTGTCCTCAGAGTCACTCAAACTGTAGTTTTAAAGCTGCACATGACAACAGTGACATGCATTCACAACAACTACCTGGAACTTTAGAAGGACCACCTGTTGGCAACATCTACAAGTCATTTGTTCATGATGTTGATGCTAAAATGCCAATTAAATTCATGTTTGCTCTTTTGTCCATAGATTCCAACCTGGGTTCATCTTCCCCTTCACCTCCCAACTCCTCATCATCCTCATTATGTGTCGCTGCTCTGTCGTCGTCTTCTAATACTACTACTTCAACTTATGCAAATTCCACATGGGGGGCAGGCTCTGGCAGCCAGTCCTCCTCTCAGGGCTGCGGAAAGGTGATTGTGGATGGGACTGACCTGGAGGACTGGCCCAGCATCATAAGCGGGGCCAAATTGAGTTCTGATGGGGCTGGAGGAGGGGTGCAGGAGCAAGACTGCCCCGGTAACAACAACAACAGTAGTGCCTCATGGAGTGAGAGAAACATCCAGCAGGGAGGAGGAGCAGGGAACATGGACAATCCTTCCCCACCTCGTTCTTCTCCTCTTTCCTCCTCTTCCTCACTTAATGAATGTGTTCAGTCAAGTGGTGGTGTGTGGGTCTCTTCCACCTCATCTCAGGTGGAGGCAGGGCTAGGATCAGCAGCATTTTACAATTCCAAAGTCTCCCATCTTCTTCCTGGGCCTCAGGAGAGCCCTGTGGGTGGCAGCAGCAGTGTCACTGGTGCCAATTTCAACCCCAACGTGAACCCCTCCGCTTGGCCCGCCCTGGTGCAGACTGGGACATCAACTTCGGCTAGCGACAGCCTTCCACTACACTCGTCCATTACTTCAGCTTCCTCATTCTCTGCCAGCACCGCCCTCATCACCACTCACACGCTTTCATCTGTGAATCAATCTGGTCTCTATCAGCAGCACACTGAAACAGCTGTGGGAGCCAGGAGTGGAGAACAGCAGCAGCAGCAGCAGCAGCACTTAGGAAACCCTGGGCCGGAGCTGTGTTCAGGTGGGGGAGCACGAGAAGCAGGACCAAATCAAGAAGGTGGCAGTGACGGAGACTGTGGAGTTGCTAGTGAAGGAGAAGGAGGTGGTAATCTTTCTGGCTCTTCATCTTCCTCCTCTGCTGCCTCTTCTTCTTGGAGATCGATGCCTCCAGTGTCCACTGATCTCAGTGCGGGTGCCTCGCAGGCAGATGGGTGGGGCGGAGGAGGGGCTGGAGCTCAGGGGCAGGAAGGGAATGTTTGGGGCTTTGGTAGCCAGGGTGATAAGGCAGGGTGGAGCAGGGGAAATGGTGGTGGTTCAACTACCCCAGTGGTATCTCAGGGAGCGTGGGAAGGAAGCAGTTCAGAAGCAGAGTGGGGTGGTACTACAGAAGGTGTAAGTTCGAGTCATTTAGCAATAGGAAGTGGAAGAGGAGGAGACGGGAGCAGCATCAGCAGTAGTGCAGGCAGTGTAGGTATCGGAGGCAGCAGTTTGGAGGAGTCTGCCTCACCAAAGTTTGCAACTATTACAAAAGCTTGGGACAATCAGAAAGGGATGGAAGGTGGGGATGGAGCAGTTGGCGAGTGGGGAGGAGGAGGGCAGGGTGGAGGCACTGGAGGTGGTGGACCCTCATCCTCCAGTGGAGGAGGATCCATAGCTGGAAGTGGTGGAGAAGGGAGTGGTAGCGGACATAAACAAGAGCGATCCTCGTCTGTGCGCCACCGCTCCCACCAGACCGCCAATGCTGAAGTGGCCTTACATAGCATGCTCAATCGATCCGACCTGGACCCCAGGGTTCTGTCTAACACGGGCTGGGGGCAGACCCAGATTCGACAGAACGTGGCCTGGGACTTGGACACCACAACAGGAGTAGGGAACAGAAATGAAAGAAACACTTCATCTTCCTCTGCATTCTCATCAGCAACCATGAACACTACCACTAGTCGCAGTCCTGGGTACCCGTCTAACACTGGTTCAGTAACTAATGACACATCTGCTGGCAGTCACACCACCAGCCTGAGCTCTGGCCCTGCTACAGTGAGGGATGGCTGGGATGGTGGTGCTACCCAGTCCAGCTGTGGTCCTCACATGCCTAGTAGCTCTATAAGGAAGCCAGGATCTCCAGAAGAAGAAGAGGGCAACCCAAGTAAGGCAGCTGGAGGCTGGGGTGATCTCCCACCTGAAAGCCAGGGGAAAGGGTGGGGGACTGAAGAAAAACAATGGGGAGGTCGCAGAGGAGGAGGAGGAGGTGGAGGAGGAGGAAACTGGAGAGACTTTGGAGAACAGGGTAGTGGGTGGGTGGATGGTCCAGAGGATAAAGATACAGGGGGCTGGAAGGGGACTGGAAGAGGGGAGACAGGTGGTTGGGGAGGACAGTCTGGAGGAGGAGGAGGAGGAGGAGGAGGAGGAGGAGGAGACTGGGGACAGAGAGACTCTACACATGGAGGAGGGTGGGGAGATGGGAAAAGTAGAGGTGGAAGCAATTCTGATGAGGGATCTTCCTGGGGTAATATAGATGAAGGGGGATCTCAGCGTGGAGGATGGGGAGGAGGAGATGTGGGTGGAGGCAAATCCCACCAGGACTGGGGGAGTGCCAAGACCCACACAGCAGCAGCACAGATACCAAACAGCCAAGTGGCACCAATTAAAGCTCCAAATCAACAGCAGCACCAATCACAGGGCCAGCAACCACCAGGAGGTCCAATGCAAGGTGGGTGGAACAGCCGGTCAAATGTTGGAGGTGGAGGTCCACCTTCCAAGAATCAGAACCAAAGTTCGGGCTGGACCGCTGGCCCGATCCCCCAAATCTCTGGGGGTGGGGGTGATTCCCTGGAGCCCAGTGGCTGGGAAGAACCTTCCCCCCAGTCCATCAGTCGCAAAATGGAAATTGATGATGGCACGTCAGCCTGGGGCGACCCAACCCGCTACAACAGCAAGAATGTGAACTTGTGGGACAAGAACAGTGCTACGCCAGGCCAAAGCCATGGTCAGCAGGCCCCACCACCACCACCGCCGCCAGCCATGCAGCAACAGGCACCGAGGAGGCAGCAGAGCATGCAGCACAGCAGTAATGCAAACCCTGGCAATAGTGCAGTGGGTAAGAAGAAGCACCATTACAAAAAGAGTAACTGAAGTAGATTAAGCATCAACATTTATTACATAGTGAAGGCTTTATTAACAACCCACTGACCTTACAAACATTTTAAAGTCTAAAGCATGGTTTTCATTTTCATCAATGTCCAGGTCCAGGTATGTGGGGTGGAGGCACGCAAACTGTGGATAATGGTACAGCTGCATGGGGCCAGGCGTCAGAGGCAGCAACAGGTTGGGGTGATCCAGAAGAACCTGGCAAAGTTTCTGGCTGGGGCAACCCCTGTAAACCTGGTAAGAGTTTATAAATCTGTAATTTCAATATCACAATATCTGAGTTCTGAGTTGTTAAAAATCACTAATATTTTTAAACCTGGTGCTTCGGTCCCACAAACCACAATTCAAGCAACATCACACATCTCTCTGGGTTTTAGAAATTTCCACAACTCAAGTTCAGAATAGAGGATATCTCGAGAACTGACTGCAGACATCACAACCCTCTGCTTTGTGTTTGCTGCAGGCACTAAGTCAATGGAAAGCTGGGGTGGGAAGGGAGATGGCTCTATTGCAGCGTCCCGTCACCCCAGCTGGGACGAGGACGATGATGGCGGCGGAGGGGTCTGGAACAGCGCTGGCTCCCAGGGAAGTGGCTCCTCCTTCAACTCTGGAGGCTGGGGTCAGACTCACGGAGGAAAGAGAGGCAATATCAAGGTGGGAAAAGGAGATTCTAGGACACACACACAAGTTATGTGGCCTCTCGTTAGACAAAGTAGTTCTCATTTTGTTCAGTAATTTTCTCAGTATGTCTATCATTTGCACTTTTTCTGACTGAAAGTATGTGTTCCAATTGTTTTTCCTAAAGAGTGGAGGCGACAGCTGGATGAACCCGGTGTCACGCCAGTTTTCAAATATGGGTCTTCTGGTAGGATATTTATTTATTAATGTCTTTAACTTTTCTCTAACACAGCCTGTCACCTGTATTAATAATGTTACTATGATTGATAGATGAGGCCTTAATCGCTGTCCTACGATGTCACTAAATTACTTGGCTGTTTCTCAGGGCGATGATCCAGTTGTCGACAAAAAGATGGAAGGAGACAAGAGAGGAATAACTGACTATAATGGAGAGATGCGGAGGGGAGGAAGAGGTGGAGGAGGTTACCGCATGCCTAGTTCCAAAGACATGGGGCCTGTTGACATGGGGCCCTACGGGGAAAAGGTGGGAGTCTGTTTGTATTTATTTAGTTTCAAAGCCATCCGTCTTCATTTTGCATTAATTCAACTTTGACATCGACCAAATCAGCTATATATCGCTGTTTGTGTTTCCGTTGTGCTCTAGATGGGTGGCCACGGAGTGTTTGTCGGCAGTGGCGGAGGGATGCCTCAGCCTCGAGGGATGCACCAGCCTGGCATGCATCCGATGAACCCCTCCCAGGGGTTACGTGCTCAAGTGCCTCATCAGTTCCTGTCTGCTCAGGTTTCTGTCTTTTTATGTTTCTGATGCTGTTTTTGTGAGACATTGAGGTTCTCATGAATGTTACGAATACCACCACATGACATGGCAGTGGCTGTGTGGGTTTTAGGCAAGGGGTGACATTTAGGAGGCTGTTAACAAAACGTTAAGACATTTTAGGATCTTCTTGTGTTGTATGTCCGCTGTTTAAGTGTTTTGGTTTTCCAGCATTCCTTAGTTCTCTGTTTATCTTGTGAAATTGCAAAACAGGAGGTCATTTGGCCTTAATGCAGCCCCACACTAGTTGCATCTTGAAGTCGCTTCACTTCATGAAATTTCATCAAGTATCGGATCCTGTTTTGTCTTGCACGATGGATGTGCAAATTTCTGATGAAATCTTTTCAACCGCTGTTTTTATTAACAACAAAAAAAACCTTTGAGCAGCTGTGGCTCAGGTGGTAGAGCAGTCGTCCTCCAATCATGAGGTGGGCGGTTCGATCCCCTCCACAGTTGAAGTGTCCTTGGGCAAGACACTGACCCCGAAGTTGGCAGCACCTTACATGGCCTTTCTGTCGCCATTTGTATGAATGGGTGAATGAGAAACACATTGTAAGTGCTTTGGATAAAAGCGCTATATAAGTGCAGACCATTTACCGTATTTTAATCATAATATGCGATCACATGCTATAAGAATGTGCTCGATATTACCAGACCAAAGACTCTGTGTGCCCCTCTATGTACATACTCATTTCCACTGCAGCTGACATGTTTGTGTCACAGGCACATAACCTGTCTCATGCACCTGTGTGGTAAATGGGACAGCCATAAAAAAAGAAGAATTTACTGTTTTTTTTTGCCATTCAGAAATTTGCAATGAATAGAACTTGATGAATACAGTGCTCTAATTTCTCATAATTTACACTGTTGTTGCGAGTATTTGTATACGCTGCCATTTATGTGTGAATGTATGTGACATGCAGGTGCCGGGTCCCATGCTGAAGCAGATGCCCTCTCCTGGCGGCAGTGTGGGTGGAGTAGTCGGGGGAGTTGGAGGTGTTGGTGGAGTTGGAAGTGTCGGAGGGGTGGGTGGTGTTGGAGGAGGGGTGTTCCCTCCTCAGATTTCCCCACAGCAGCTCGCAATGCTCAGCAACATTTACCCCCACATGCAGCAGTTTCATCTGGTATGTGGCCAAATGTTCCACTGGTTGACATTAATATTCCATTGTTGACTGTTTTGATCAGTGTGCCATACTGACATGTCTTTAAATGCGTGGTTAACTGTAGTGAAATTACCCTTAATGATCATTTTAATAACTTTGTCACACTTTGGGATATTAAAATGCTTGACTACCGGCCAAGATGTTATTTGTTCACGGCAGTCTCCGACTATTTTTGCCTCCCAAAACTCAGGCTTGTCAGCTTCTGCTACAACAGCAGCAACAGCAGCAGCAGCAGCAGCTCCTGCAGAACCAGAGGAAGTTCCCTCAACCTCAGCCTCTCAGGCAGCAGCCAGACCCACAGCAGGTGAGCATGATCGTACTAGGTCTCGACACCATAACTTACAAAGCTTTGTCAACAGCACCTCAATCTCTACTATGACATTTCTCTACTACAGCAAAACTGTCTTGCTCATTCTACAGTCAATAATAAATGGGAAGTGGTCAGACCTGTTCCTGAAGTTGGATTAATTAGCTGAGCTGTAGTTAAGAGCCATGCATATGATATTAGAGGAATATATATTCTATGTGCTAATAAATACTTGACCAATATGACTGCTGTGCTAGGTACTATAAAACCATATGTTTTTGAATAAGCCCTTAACACACAAAGACCATTTGTGACAATTCACCCTGTACTTCTTTGGATCTTATCCTCAGCTGACGAGGATTATGGCTATTCTGCAGCAGCAGAGACAGCATCAGCAGGGTGGAGTTGGAGGAGCAGCAACAGGAGGAGGGAGCTCCAAACTGTCCCCCTCTCACCTGGGAGGAGGCCTGTCCAAACAGGCCATGGTAGAGCCCCTTCCACATCCTGGAATCGGGGGGCCCCTATCAGACCTTCATGCCAAAACGCAAGGGATGTACTCTGGTGAGTCCAACTGGCAAAATGCTTGTGGTTAGACTCATTGAACTAAAAAAATAGCATGAGCCTGTGAATGATTGCACTTTTCCTTTTGTCAGGTCTTACACCTGGTGGCAACCTGTCAGGACTGGAACTCAGTCCCATGATGGGAGGGATGAAGGACATGGGAGGACAGCAATCCCGGTTCAAATGGATGATGGAGGGACACTCCCCAGCTCCCTCACCACCTGACACAACCCTTCACAAAAATGGTAGGTTAACAGAATGTTGGTAGCGTGATTTCTGCAAAGGCAAAATACTCACTTCAGTAAAGCACAGCTCCCAATCGTCTTCTTCGAATGAGCCTCTGTGAATCAAAGTGATGTGGAGAATTCTCTGTTTTGTGTCCTTTCCAAGGCCCTTTACCCACTGGTATAAAGGTTAGAGGAGGGTCCCCTTACTCCCAGTATGAAATGCTGGGCAGTGATGGTTTAGGGATTCCCCCTCAGGGCTCGGCAGACAACTGGCACCGGACCCCAGGAAGTAAAATGGGGAACAAACCCACTACATCTAGCTGGCCTCCAGGTGAGTTTGTCTGTCTCTGCCACTGGTTCTCTAACATAATGAAATAGGATCTGAGGAGGAAACGACGGCAGAAAATGTCATTTTAGCTGAAGCTGTTGTTCCAGTTTTTGTTTTAGCAACTGGCCAACAGCTAAGAAAAACAGATCAATTAGATTCATTTGCTCACACTGGGGACATTTTAGTATGTAGAAATATTGGTTTAAAGATAAAAGGGGGCTTACACATTCACAGTAACAAACAGCCACAGTCAGAGGATGCTTTTATGTTTTGCTGCTCATCGTTTCAGTTAATATGTTCTCTGTTGTCTGATGACAGAGTTCCAGCCCGGTGTGCCCTGGAAGGGAATACAGAGCAGTGGAGACCCAGAGTCTGATCCCTATATGACCCCTGGTAGTGTTCTGGGCTCCCCAGGATCCCCGAGCCTCAACGACTCTGACCACCAGTTACTGCGAGACAACATAGGTATTTGACTGAGTGCATCTCATGTTTGATGGGCATCGTTGTCGGTTTTAGCGTTGGTGCTTCATAGTGTTAGTTGCAAAAAAAATCATGAGATTTCTGTTACCACAAGTTCCATTTTTGTCCAAAATAAAACAAAGAATAGATGACATGGCCTTACTGTGGTAATGATATTAGTCACTTGTGACAAGAAGCTGAAAGACTGGATGAAAGCATTTTAAATACTATTATCCAATCAGTCATACAGCTTAAGGTGCAGTTGTTAATTGAGCGCATTATGGAAGTTCCCTTTTGAAGCTGCAGCTTGTCTCTTTGAGGATTAAGGCTGAGCAATACATCTATTCACCACTAACTGTTGTCACTCACTGGTGAAATAATAAACATCTCCTGGAACACGACTCGTGTTTTAGCCAGAAAACTTAAAATGTGAAACTGGAAGTGACACTTCACCCTGGGCCACTGGTTCCCAAACACCTCACAGGTGCTAATCTGCTGTTGCATAACTGTTATCAGGACTCAATAAAGATTTCGAAGCAATTTTAGCTTAATGTAACTTTAGTGTTTTTGCTGTATCAGGATGAAGTCTGTATGGCTGACTTTGTGATTCATTATTGTTAAAACACACATGCACAATGTGACTGGTGGAGCCTCAGTAGTGGCTCTTTTTTCCCTTAAGTTTTTGAAAAACATGCCCCAGTGCCTTTTTTTTTTTTTTTTTCTTAAATCAGAAAGTCTTACGTCAGTGATTTGGTAGTTGCCTTCACAGGCTCTGTCTGCAGTCCTGCTCAAGTATTGTGGCCTTGTCTTGTTTATCACAAGATTCAGATGATCTTGTAATGTTTTTTAGGGCCAAACCCCTCCCTCAACACCTCGCTGCCTTCACCTGGTGCCTGGCCCTACAGTGCCTCAGACAGCCCCCTCAGCAATGCACACAGCACAGGTATGAGGGTTGTTTTCTTCATATATAATGTATTTCCCTTTGTAATTTGACTTTTGAATCTGTTTCATTGTTATTAACTCAGTTGTTATCTACCGTTCAGTGTATTTGTTTCTGTGCCTGCGTTTGTGTTATTACTGTATTTTAAACCATGCTCTGTCCTCTCCACACCCATTTCTGTGATTTGTTTTTCAAAACTACTTTTCCCCCTCTTTCCCCCTCTCCCCACTTCCTTTTCAGGAAAGTACTCGGAGTACAAGCCCAGCTGGCCTCCAGAGCCCATCGGACAAAACAAGTTGTGGAAGACCAATCGCAACAGCTCACAGCTGCCACGCCCCCCTCCTGGTCTAACCAATCAGAAGCAGGCCTCGCCCTCCCCATGGGGTACTGGAGGTCCACGGTTGGCTCGGAGCTGGGGAGGGGGTGGGATGAATCAAGAGTCAAGATTTGGGCCAGGTACTTTTTACAGGGAGATATTTCATAACCATTTCTCAACATATCACAACGGTATATGTGGCGAGGAGACCTCGACAGTGATGTGAAGACTCCGGTCTCGCAACGATATCATGACAGCTTGTAAACAAGTGTAATTGAAATATCATAAGCATTATTTTTGTTTGTCATCGACCGTGATATCCTGTAATTTAATCTGTGTCGTCTCTTCTGCTTGTCTCGTCCCTGCTTGTCTGTTTTTTCCTCTCTAGGCTCAGCTTGGAGTGATTGTGTTGCCTCCAGAGGCAGCTGTTGGTTGCTGCTGAGCAACCTGACCCCTCAGGTAAGAGCGAGGAAAGGAGGGACTGATTAAGAGAGCTAGAAACCACGGGAAGAGACAAAATTGACAATTAAATGTGCTGTCTATAAACTAAAATAGTGCAGAAAAGTGGGGAAAGATACAAAAACAACAGGATTATGCTGGACAAGCAGTGGAGAATAAATTTGTGCCATATTTGATACGTGTTTCTGAGATCTCATTGATAAGATCAGGCATTATATGTAAAAACAGCTGCACATGATCAGTCACATGTTAAATGCCCTTTAGTGAATAAAAGAGGAATCAAAGCAATCTGGCAAGTTGAGGTATCCTATTTAATATATTTAAGATTTTTCTCATTTAAAGAAAGTTATGGTAAAAGTAAATTTTGTATTTGTACAAATATTTGAAGATTACCTTCATGTTTTAATATTTTTAGTTAAATCAAGAAGGTTTAAAATTCCATTTTTGGGGGACACGGACGGTGGACGTTATAAACATGTGTCAGTCCAGGGGTTTAGTTGCATGAATGCCAGATCCTAGTGACATTTTTTTGGGTAAAAACTTGCAAGAAATCTAATGAAGAGCTTAAAACACATTTAGAAACCTGCAGAAAAGTAAAGGGAAAAAACTGTATGCAATGGAATAACCAGAGCTAGTTTGCATACATTGATGTGATATTTGTGCAAAAAACAATTAGTGCCGTATATAATAATAATATACAGCTTTGACATGCATGTCTGTTTGATCTCATCCAAAGATTCAATAAACATCTATTTTTTAATTAATAGATTTTTTTTCCTACAAGTATTTCATGTGTCAGGCTTTACAGGGTTAAACACAGTCACCACAACACGATTGATCATGGCCATTAAGTAAAACAGCTGCCTAGACAGATTGGTCAGGGTTTGAATTCAACAGCATTAAACCGCTGTGCTCATTAATCTGTATTCCCCTTCAGTCTGCCTTATGCAAATGAGACAGAACCATGCGTGACCCAGCTGTAATTGGATTGTGAAGTTGGATGAGCCATTTAATCAATTAGGGTTTGCTCAAATGACACTCGCATAGCACCGCTCTTGGAAAAGCGTAGAAAGGAAAATGTTTAATTATCTCCAGACAAAGTTTGTCTCACTAATACAGACTTTGTTCAGCATCGTATTTGGCCGTACTGCGTGCTCGTGTGCACAGGCTTGCGCAACTTGTCTTAATGTAACTGTGACACAATCACAAATCAATAAAACCAAAGTGCACAGTCTGCATTTATTATTAATAAACCGTTTTTCATAACCATTGTTGTATAACCTCTTGATTCCCTGCCCTTTCTCTGGCCTTGTAGTTGATGACTGAAGACGATGGATAATTACTGTAGAGTTGCCACATCGCGCACACACACACACACACACACACAGTCACACTCAAAATGTTTTGTACTTAACTATTTTTTTCCCTGTAGATCGATGGCTCCACGCTGAGGACTATCTGTATGCAGCATGGCCCCCTGCTGACCTTCCACCTTGGCCTGACCCAGGGCAGCGCTCTCATTCGTTACAGCAGCCGGCAGGAAGCAGCCAAGGCCCAGGGTGCACTGCACATGTAGGTTTACCTGCACCCTCACCAATGTGTTGAACTGAGTGGTGAGAAGTGGCGCTATGTAAAAAAACATCAAACTGAAGAGAGCCTTGTCTTCTGACTTCATTTCAGGTGTGTTCTGGGCAACACCACAATCCTGGCGGAGTTTGTGAGTGAAGAAGAAGTTGCTCGCTATTTTGCACATTCCCAGGCCGGAGGGGCAGAGGGAGCCAGCTCAGGAGGAGCGGCGGCTGGTGGGACGCAGGGTTCATCTGGAACAGGCACCACTGTGGCCAGCAGTGGAGGGAGCTCCCCTGGGAGTGAGCGGGCAGCAGTGGGCGCAGCTTCAGGTGGAAATGGAAACGGTGGCGGAGGAGGGGAGAGCGGAGCAGCGGTTCTAACTAGTGTGAGATCCTCTGGCTCTGGCTGGCAGAGTCTCGATGGTACAGGCAGTTCATCAGAAACCTCTTCAGCCCAAGGACCTGGGCTGGGGATCTTTTCCCAGTGGAGCACCAACGGCGCGGGCGAGGGAGGAGGCGTTGGGGGAGTAGAGTCTGGGAGGTCTGGGCTATGGGGGGGCATGACTGCAGGATACCCCAGCAGCAGCCTGTGGGGGGCACCGCAGATGGAGGAAAGGCACCAAATGGACAGCCCTGCCGGATTGTTGCCCGGCGACCTGCTGGGGGGAGGAGCTGACTCCATCTGACGAGCCCCTCCGTTTGTACGTGTAGGTTTGGACACACTGATACAGCATACACTGGGATACATATGTACTTACTATGGCACACACACACAGACACATTTACATTGTATGCATATTAATGTACTACACATATACACACACATGTGCATACATATACACGGTATGCATATTAATGTGCACACACAACGCAGAAATGTGAGACATGCTTACACACATTCTCGTGGCCAGACTTAAGCTATTATATAAACAAATGCAGGGACTGTTAGATGTGTATACAGCCTTTTTCCACAGATGAAGATTTCAACTGCTTAGACTTGAAACCTGAAAAAGAATGAAAAGTCAGTTGGTCTGAAAGACTTGACTGGATCGCAATGTGCTTAGTAAATAGGGGACTTTTCGACAGATTTACATACACATGCACACACCAAATACAGAGAAGCCTTCAGACAGATAGGCACTGTAAACAGCATTACCTTCATCGTATAAGAGAACTTAAAACTACTACATGATGTGAGGTTAAAAGTGCAGTTTGTATTCACATCCCCTTAAAGACGGAGATCGAATCCAAACAAATGCAAACAGCTCTGATTGACAACAGAACTGTATCTTACTGTGTTAAGTTTGTTTGTTTTTTTTCCGTTTGTTTGTATGTATGGTTTTAATTTTTGAACAGTGAAAATATTGAAAAATGTCATTGTTCTGTTTTCAAAATGCTGACCTCCTACTGTTGTATCTCACGCACTCTTTCTCTGTTATTCTCTCTTGAACCTGTTTGTTACTGTTGCAGTGATAAATGTTAAATTGCTGGCAGTTTGAGGCTATGATGCATTTCTCCATGTGTCGACACTGTGCGCAGTGTCACACACATTATATGAGTATGAGTGAGACTGAGACCAAGTAAGTGGATTAAACCACCGCAGTCGTTGTGCGTGTGTGTGAATGTGAGGATAATGTGTGTGCATGTTAATGCCTGTCATAATGTGGGCAAGGCTGCTTACTATACAGAAGGTCTATACAAAAATGTTTTGAGTGCATTCGGTATACTGCTGACTGTGTGTTAAGAAATATTGGCACTAATGCTTATTTTTTTTCTCTCATTTGAAGTTGTTTGTTTTTTTAGCAGACTTGTCTTTTTTATTGTCCGACCTGCAATAATAAAAAAGAACATTTTAAATGACACAAAGAGCTGAAGGCATACGCGTTGAGAAAATGGACATGCCAAATCTTATCAAACTGTGTGGAGTGGGCGGGAGGGGCGGGCTGGGGGTTGTTTACAGATGCAGAGTAAGCGTTACCGTACGTTTTTAATGTTCTGTTGTTGTGTATTCGTTTTAAATTAAGACAGGCTTTAACACTCCTGTTCAGTGTTTTCGTTTTGAGATTTTACAAAAGAAAAATTTATTTAAACAAATGAGAACAAGATTAATAAAGACGAAAGTATTGGCTTCTAATTTGTCCTGTTTAATTTCTCTTACAATGCACACACACACATATATATATATATATACACACACTAATACTAGTGAATGCTTTGTTATAAAGACAAACTCATGTGAAAGAAACTGTCAAGGGAAAATGTGTTCGGGCCGTTCGCGAACAGGATGGCAGAGAAAGGAGCCGGCAAGTTGGTCACCCTCTTAGTGCCATACACAAACCAATCCTATTTAACACCCACGTCATCCTTCAGTAAGCTACTGTATGAAATTATTGACGTACTCTGATGAGTTCTCAGTGTGTTAGGATGTTAGCATGAACCAATAATTTAGCAGACAGGTGTAAAGACGGCAGATTGAGCCCGCTGAAGGTAGCCGCCATCTATACGACACCAGACAAGATTTACTTTTGACAAATGTTAATCAAGTGTGTGCAGCAAGACGCATGAGTGATGGAAAAGTGAGATTTAGAACAGAACAGAATGCCTTTGTTGTCGCTGTATTGTACACAGCAAAGGTAGGAGCATTGTCACACAGCAAAAATAGAAAAAGAGACAAATATACATACATATAAATATACAAAAGTTATAATTAGAAATAGCAGGAGATGCATTTCCCCCCCATTGATGAAAGTTATTGCACAGCAGCTATTTCACACTGGTTTATTGCACACACATTTTTATTTATGTATTTATGTGGCTCACATCTCACTTTTTTTTCAGCTCAGTCTACTTTTTCAACCTCAAAGATGTAATCTGTGGCCATGATAGATAGATAGATAGATAGATAGATAGATAGATAGATAGATAGATAGATAGAAATACTTTATTAATAAATTCGGTTGTTACAGCACAAAGATAGTTACCACCACCATAAATACCAATAAATAGGCAAAAATAAACAGTAAGAAAATATAAATGCAAAATGTACAATAAGTGTAATATTTTAAGAAAAGTCCTGTTTGATGATCCAAATCTTCATAGAAATTCATTTCAGCATTTATGTACCAATTAACCAACAGAAATCAGTTCAAACAAAAAAAAAAGCAACGTAATGAAAAGCTCTAACACTTTCTCCCGTGACTGAATATGTAATCTGTTTTATTATGTTCTGGTACCAGCTTTATCTGATCTTAATCTACCGAGGTTCTGCTGATACCCGTTCAAAGCGGAGGGAGGCCGGTGGTGACGTTCTCCTTTAACGGCCCTGACAGCCACACGATGACATCATCGACGTTGTGAGCACGCACGCTGTTAAGTAACCAGAGGGGGGGAGACAGGCTGGAGCGGGGAACGGCCGCTCGTGCTGCTGCTGCTGCTGCTGCCGGAGCTTCTCAGGGACTATTACAGCGAGTGCAGCCGACGACTGAGCTAAGAGCTGGGGGTATGAGAGCCGCCAGAATCCGCTCCCATCCTCTCCTGCGCGGGCGTTTGTCCGACTGACAACCATCGGATCAGAACCTCCGCCGACCCAGCTCTCGGACGAACCTAATATCGGGTGAGTGTCGGGTCGGGGAACCGCGGAAACCGAGGGGGAAAAGCGGCCCGATTCGGCCGAATCAGAGTCCTCTATTCACGGCTTACGGGAGAGGGGGAGGGGGCGAGTAGTAGGGATGGCTGTGGACACGGGCTCGTCCAGCTCGTGTATGGGTGCGGTTGGAAGTGTGATAGTGAATGTGGCGGAGTGCGATAAACACATTTCAGTTCATTTTTGTTGTTGTTGTTTTATTAAACGTACGGAACCTCCGTGGTGCAGTCACGGTCGGGTTACCGTGTTTCTACTAGCTTACAGCTAACTACTGCTGCGCTGTGTATCGGTCACTAACGTCACTGATTAGACATCATGACTGTTTGCAGATTTATTTTATTTTTTATGAAACGTAGCTAAAATTGTCGCACATGTTTATTTCTAGCAACGTTACTCGACTTGCTTCCCAACAAATCGTGTCCAGCAGTGAGAAACGTAGCCTGATATCTGCCACTTCCGTCACTAAAACAACCTTCTGGTGAAACTTTATTGATGATAAACGTGCGGGTCGCGGCTGTAGCGCTCCGCTTGTTGGTGTGTTGACAGCTGTCTCGGTGAGAGGCGTAACGCTGGGGCTGTTCTGCTTCTTGTGATTGTGAAATGTTCTGGCTTTGGGTCTCCTGACACTTGTGGGTTTTTTTTTTTTCTGTTAAAGAGAAATATTCACCTCAGTGTGTTTTCCACATATGTCCAGAAACTTGCTTCTCCCTCTTGTCAGTGCAAGATGATTAAAGCTCCAGTTCAGCAGCTCCTCGGGACATCCTGCCTGCACTACCATGGCTAAGACTCCCTCTAACCAGCAGATGTGTGCTGTACCATCTTAACCAATCCACTCTCCTGTACACGATTACAACCGTAATGGCACATGGTGCTGTTCCCAGTGCAGTGTGACCGGCTAATTCCACTTGCTTCACATCACACAGGCCGTCTGTGAAACATGAAATAATTAATTCCTCACATTGCTTTCTAGGTTTGCATGATACATGCTAACGTCTTAATGCATTACGGGAGATGTAGATGAAAACGCCGGCACAGTCTTAAATATGCAATCAGACGCTGGTTTAGCATTGTGTGTGTCACTGTTCGTGCACCGAGTAATTAATCATTGCGCTTACTCTGTGGCCTTGTGATTAATGTGGCTCCCTAAACCAGGTCCCTGGCTGCAGCACATGAGACACCCTCTTGGTGTAATGAACCCTAACCCTTTATTAACCCAGATCCATCTGCCTCCATCACATCTACGATGGCAGTCTGTCCTCGCTGGCCAGAGTTGACTGTTGCTTTCATTAAAGCTTACGTTTGGTCAGTTGATGTTTTCAGTTGAAATCAGGACAGTAGGTTTGAATCCGTTAACAAGGCTCAGATGATCCAGGATCGTAGCGTGTTTACAACGAAGCTGGTGTCTGCAGCTTGTTTTTTTGCTTGCAGTCAGAGATGTGTGGGATAATTGAGGTTGTGATGAAGGAGATTCTGGGTGGAAGCAGACTTAGTGCAGAGGAGTCGTCCTGCAGAATTGATGACTCTTCAGCTTGCTTGAGTTGGCATGTCCACAGAACTGAGCTTGTCTTGTTTTGCAGTTCTCTGAGTTGTCATGAGACCTTTATCTACCGGGGATGTGGATTGAGGTCACTCTTCGTAGCGCAGCACTAAAGATTGTGCGGTGTGTTTCACATATGGCCTTGCTGAGGTGTAAATGAGGCACATGGCATGAACTCAATTAAAAGCTCAGTCTGACTAAAAGTGCTGCATTTGGAACATGTTGCTGTAAAGGGCACGTTTTGTTGATGCTACATTCCCAGATTGGTGGTCAGGAAACAAACGTCTTTGATAAACGATGCTCTGCACTCGTACATTCTCTGCAGCACTTTGCTCTCTTAAGTTCGTTACACAGAATTGTCTGAGGGCCTTGACATAGATAAAGCCAGCCAGCGCTCTGGAGCTGCTCATGCCTTCCCTCCCTTGGCAATGCCTGCACAGAACGGCAGAGAGCTTCGTCTTGCTTTTGCAGTGGCTGCACAATGTGGCGTGGTAGAGTGAGTACTAAATAAGTGATGATCCTGCTCCGGCATCACGTGCAGCTCGACTCAAAAAAATGCGCTTCATTTCCTCATGTGTGCCAAGTCCTAGTACTCATGCAGCAGCTGATTGTGGTTCACTCTTCCTCCAAGTGGAAATGCGCATTTCATTTTTCAATTTTTCTTTCCTCTCCGTTCCCTGTGTGTTGATCTCACTGCAACCTCCTACCTTTTAGCTACCCTATAGATCTAATCTTGTGTTTTTGGAGTCCGGACAGCTGTTTGCTGATCATCTAGCCCTGCTCAGGCTGAATTCTTACACAAACACGTGGTCAGTTCAGTGTTTCTGGGATTGATCAGCTGACGGAGGAAATAGGCTTGGTGTATTCATCTCATTTGTACAGTAGCTCATCCTAAAATGTTTCACACTAAAGGAGAAGTGACTCATGGGTCAGATGAGCTAGCCTGGTGCTGTTTCGCTTTTATTTCAATAATATCTTTGTCTGTTGTTGACAGTGACGACTTGCAACCATGGAGCTGAGAGTGGGGAACAAGTACCGGCTTGGGCGAAAGATAGGGAGTGGCTCCTTTGGAGATATTTACCTTGGTAAGTAGAAACGGACACTGTGGTTTTTGTGGGTCTTTTTTTTTTCTTTTCAGTTTTTGCATCAACTTTCCATCAGACTCCCCAGTTAAGGTTCTTTCCACATTAGTTAGCGGACAGTCTCTCTTTTCATTCTGTACCATTCATTTCCCCTTTCATCTGGGCACTGGACTAGATTTTCCTTCATATTCATCCACCGTTGGCCTGGTACATGCACCGTGGCCATGGTTCTCGCAGCTGTAGTTGATTTTGTATGTGTGTCTCCTCAGGTGCCAACATCGCCACTGGTGAGGAGGTAGCCATCAAGCTGGAATGTGTGAAGACCAAGCACCCACAGTTACACATTGAAAGCAAGTTCTACAAGATGATGCAAGGAGGAGGTAAGGGAATACAGCTTTGACACACTTGTCAAGAGTTTTATTTTTTTATTTTTTTAACACATTCCTTGTCAGATTTATTGTCCCTGGCAATATGATGGAGGTAAATGTTCTGCTAAGCCTGCACAACATGTAAAGTGACAATTAGTGTGAGTTGCTGGATGTAGACGGCGGCTATAAGCCTGGAACTGGCCGTGCATTTCACAGAGCTTTCTCCTACGGTTCTGCTATCTGCTTGTTGTTTTCAAAATCCACTTCGCTGCAAGAAACAACCCCCGGGCTAGCAACCGTTGTGCAGGAAGCCCAACTTTATAGCTTGTTTGTTTGTTTTTTGTGCAGGAATTTTTGCTATTTTAATGACAGTGCTCGTCTCATGCAAACGTTCCACCAAAACATTTTCAGGGGAAGTTGCATCCTTGATTTGGCTCTGCCCATTGCACTGCTTTAAAGAAATGCAAACAAGCCCGAGCATTTCTCTCCCCTAGAAGAATGATAATGAAGTGCAGGCAGAGCATTGTTTTCTAAAGAATGGGTTGTTAAGTGACAATAAAAATGTCTGAAGGACTGTCGCCTCACATTTCTAAGATATAAACCCATCTCGAGGTGAACCTACATAGGTTAATAAAAGTATCAATCTCATGAATAGAGCTCCCTATGTTGTGAAAATATTTGTGTATTTAGTGTAATAATATAAGTTCTAGCTGTGCATGTGACAACAGGCTGAACAGGGTTTGTTCTGATTCTGTGTGTACTTGTCTTGACTAGTGGGTATTCCATCGATAAAGTGGTGTGGTGCCGAGGGAGACTACAACGTGATGGTAATGGAGCTGCTTGGCCCGAGTCTGGAGGACCTTTTCAACTTTTGCTCCCGGAAGTTCAGCCTAAAGACCGTGCTGCTTTTGGCAGACCAGATGGTAAGACAGACAGACAGACACACACACACACACACACACACACACACACACACTCTGTCGTTTAAAGTCAGGGACGCGAGGATTAGGACAGTTTCACGGCCATCCTAGTTGAAATCACACGATGTGAAACGGATCTGTTGACAAGACCTCGTGTTAACTAGGTCATGGTTGTGATTTACTTCTCTTCTGTTTGTTGCTGCATGCTCCATATAGAAGCGTTGCACATGACTCCCCCGAGGCTTCTTTAAACATTATAGATGTTTTGGTCTCTGCTGCTCTTGCACATTCAGTGTAGTTTGTAATGTTGGCTTCTTCTGCTGGCCCAGATATTTCAGTTCATGGAAAGATCTCTCAAGAACAACTCACCTCACCTTTGGTTCTAACCGCTGCCAAGTAGTTTTCCTCTATATGGGGGTTTGACTCTCCACTGAAACCCTGGGCCTGTCATATATCCTGTTACTCCCTTTGTCCTCCTTTTATGTTTTTGTTTGCTAATGTCATTGATGTATGAAATGCAACTAGTACTGCTGAGTGAGTAAAACTATGCTGGTTTAACCAGCATGTAAATGTAATAATATGACCTTGACCTCATTACAACAAGACTCTCTGATATCCTGTCTGTGTGATAAAACGTTTAATGTTTTGTGCTGCGCAGCTTGACCATTGTGTCACTGTCTTCCTGTCCACTCCAGATAAGTCGCATTGAGTACATCCACTCCAAGAATTTCATCCATCGAGATGTAAAGCCGGATAACTTCCTAATGGGCCTCGGCAAGAAGGGCAACCTGGTGTACATCATTGACTTTGGTCTGGCCAAAAAGTACCGCGACGCCCGCACACACCAGCACATCCCGTACAGGGAGAACAAGAACCTGACTGGCACGGCGCGCTACGCCTCCATCAACACACATCTTGGAATTGGTATGGTTCACATAGAAGATAAACACGCTTTTGATTTGCAGAAATGAACTCTGTGGTGTGTGCTTCAGGTGTGTGCTTCAGGTGTGTGCTTCAGGTGTGTGCTTCAGGTGTGTGCTTCAGGTGTGTGCTTCAGGTGTGTACTTCAGGTGTGTACTTCAGGTGTGTACTTCAGGTGTATACTTCAGGTGTGTACTTCAAGTGTGTGCTTCAGGTGTGTACTTCAAGTGTCAAGAACTGCTCAGTCGGTGACTTGTGTTGCAGAGCATTGGCTTAGATTAAAGGTTGGTTTGAGTCTTTTATTCACATGTTTGCAGGCAGTTCTCCTAGAAAGCCCCTCTGCGAGACTAGACAACACACCAAGTGATGCATAATGAATGTGTTATAACAGGCTGAAACAGAACTAACAGCAGCTGATCAACGGGCCTTACCAGCCCAGTTTATCTCTGATTTCCTAAACAGTGAAGCTGAAAACTTCCGGACTGAGGATGGGTGAGATGTAACTGACTGACTGCTCACCTGTCTGCGGTTATAAAAAGTACACAGCTGCTGTTGGAGCCTGATTAGCTCTTTCTTCATGCCGAGGATAATTTATAATTGAGCCTTATTAATGAAGTTAGTCCTGGAGCTCTGTGGGTAAATGCACTCAGCTCTGTTTCTCTGTGGACACACTCGTGGATCCTGCTGCTGTCTGATGCTGCAGGTTTGTAATAAACTACAGTAGTCCTAAACACCTGGAAGCTAAACTGTGGGCCTGCACACTGTGACCAAGTTTGACCTGATCCTCCCTCTAAGCTCCCCGGTGATAATTTATAATTATAAGAATTTGTTTGAGTTACCGGCGCAGTGACCCACCACGTGAAAGTGCACCCAACTTCCTGTCTTTGTGGACTCACATGGATCCTGCTGCTGTCTGATGCTGCAGGTGTTAAACTAGGAGAGAGTATTTAAACATAACAGCTGGTAGAAAGCTCCTGTTAACGCCTTGTGGGGGAAAAAATGGGATAATGCTCATTATTGGTGAGTAAGGTAATCGCAGAAAAGTGTTCTCATCGTGGACGTTTCATTTTGTTGCCTAATAGATTTGAAATTGTTGCGCAAAGTCCTTAAAAACAGCGTCATGTTTTTGCCACACAAACTGTGTATTAAATGCATTCTGTGTTGGATTAATAATGATGCTAAAATGTGGGAAAATCCTCACTTCACACAGTTCATAGCGCTGCTTGTGTGCACCTATCCGTTAACGTGACGGTTCAGATCAGACCTGAGCTGTGTTGATACGAAACTGTTGCCAGCATTGCTAGCTTTAACAAAAACATGGCCGAGGTGCACATTCAGACATAAAACCAATACATTAGATTAATGGAATGGAGTGTATGTCTGAAAGGGGCTTTACTTGGATGGCAAGGGGTTTTCATCGAAGTAAAATAAATCTAAATGTGTGGATCATCTTGATAAAGTGAGATGCAGTGTGTCCAGTCCAGGGCTTTTATTCTGCACCTGGCCCATCTTTTCCCAGTAAAACAAATAAAAGATTTTGTTGGTAGCATTAAAAATAGAGAGTTGAACATACAGTACGCCAGTTAGCATCTCACTTGCTGATATTGGTGAGAGTCGTATTTGATTGTATCAATGGGACTGAGCGTCTACAGCGATGTGGTCCTGGTGACAGGCTGCCCTCTGTGTGCCTTACAAAAACTCCCAGTCATCAGGGTCACACCCTCGCTCCATGTCGACAGCTGCCTCTGAACATCCTGGTAACTGTGAATCATCAGAGCTGCTCTAAATGACACTCATCCCTCGCCCGGAGGTGTAAAGCACAGTAGTACTCACCAGATTTTACTTGTCAGGGATCCTGGAATCCCGCTTTTTCAGTCGTATTTAACCAGTTGTTTTAACAAACCTGAGTGTCTGGTCTCTGCATGTGTTAGTGGCTTTTAATCCGGAGGTCTTGTTTGTGCGTAACAGAAAGTTAGCGTTACTAGGTCGGTTTTCTACAAACTGTGGGTCCTCATTGTTCTTCCTCCTGCGATTGTTTGATTTTTAACTCCTCTCTACATTGTCTTTATATATAGATAGATATATAACCCTGGATCAAAATAGGAGGGAGGAAAAGAAGAAAACACTGTTTAGGATGGATAACGGTGATCTTGTGCAATTGTAGTTTGAGCACATTGTTCTTTGACTCACCATTTAAACACGGTGCTGTGTTCACATTTGAAACGTGTCTGTGAAGATTCTCAGCCATCCAGGTCACGTTTATTCTCGTGGTTTAATCATAGCAACTGGACTTGCTTGACTTCCTTGAAGATGTTCCACCTCTCATCCAAGAGGCTTCATCAGCTCTGACTGACTAGTTGGGAGTTCCAGATACTGATATCCTGAAGGAGCCATTAACACCTGAGTTTTGGTTTCAGATGGGGGTTTGTTGCTCCTCCCCCTCGTTATAAAACCTCTTGAAACCCCAGCAAGATCATTTGCCCAGCATGTTAGTAGGATGTGAATTTTTGGTTTGATACAGGCGATGATGTCTCTGTACAGCTCTGGTAGAGACACATGTCTGGATAATGGATAATGATCTGTCTCTGTATTCAAATAGAAGACCAGAAGTGTAGTGCTTTTTTTTTAGAAAACATGATAGGGTGTAAGTAGTCAAAGTCTATGTCTGACACATAGTGCATTACGTATTGAGGTGATCACTGTCCAGCCCTGATACGGCGCTGTGGAGATAAAGTGCGGCGTTGCAAGACGACCTCCAATAGAAGTGCTGCCACAGAAATCACAACAACTTTGATGCACTCTCAGTACCTGAGGAACTGAAAACCAAGTGGATAACTTTTAAAATAACATCACGCCCCCCCTAACGTCTAACAGCTGCTGCGACACTGAAACAGCCCATCTAGAACCCGCCCAAAACCAGGAGTTATACAGTCGCCATTAAAAGAACCATCCTCTGTGTTTTGAGCTTAAACTCAAAGGGACGTGTAGGACTCGCATGTTCAGAATGGAGGGTGTGATGTGGGACTTTGAGTGTTTGTTTTTTTATCCCCCTTCAATATCAAAAACTATAAATAGACCCTGAGGAAATGATTCCAGCACTAAGCTGATGTCTCTGTTGTCTCACTCATACGTGCGCTCTCACACTTTGTGTTCACAGAGCAGTCCAGACGCGACGACCTGGAGTCCCTCGGCTACGTCCTCATGTACTTCAACTTGGGCTCCCTCCCCTGGCAGGGCCTCAAGGCTGCAACCAAGAGGCAGAAGTACGAACGAATCAGCGAGAAGAAAATGTCCACACCCATTGAAGTTCTGTGCAAAGGATACCCTTGTAAGTGATGCTTCTGGGCGTGCCTCTGGGTGTTGGGGCTGCCGCATACCTCTGAAATTATCTGCAGGTGCTGTAGGGAGTTTTGTCGGTGTGAAAGTCAATGTGAACAAAGTTAATACAACTACGTGGGTTAAAGCTGAGCAGCAAATCACTGGTTTTGTGTTTATGCTGTTCTGAGTTTCTCCTCATTGCTGCTTGTCGTGTCATTTCTTCTTTCACAGCTGAGTTCTCCACGTACTTGAATTTTTGCCGCTCACTCCGTTTTGATGACAAACCAGACTACTCCTACCTACGACAGCTCTTCAGAAACCTGTTCCACCGACAGGGCTTCTCTTATGATTACGTCTTTGACTGGAACATGCTCAAATTTGTAAGTTTACATTTTAACTAAAGTGCTGATGTGTGTTTTGGTACCTAGCTGTCACTAACTTTCTATCACGGTGCTAAAACATCATTTTTCATTTCATGACCTTATAATACAGCTCATCTAAAGCCGGTTTTGTCAGTAGAAAAGCTTGAATGTGCCTGATCGCTTCTGTCAGGGTGCCAGTCGGACAGCCGAAGACGGGGATCGGGACAGGAGGACTGGTGACGAGAGGGAAGACCGGCTGGGAGGAGCCCCCAGGGGGTCTGCATCACGGGGCCTCCCTCCAGGTCCCAACCCTGGAGCTCCCAACAGAGTGAGGAACGGGCCAGAGCAGGCCATCTCCAACCCGGCCTCACGGGTCCAGCAGTCCGGTGAGTATTTAGCTAAATCGATTTTAACTTCCAAACTCTATCTGTGTGCTATAACAGAATCAGACTCTGCTGATACGTGATTTTGTATTTATTTATTGAGAATCTGCGTTCCATTTAACACCTCAGGCAACACGTCACCACGAGCGATTTCTCGTGCAGAGCGGGAGAGGAAGGTGAGCATGCGACTCCACCGCGGGGCTCCGGCCAACGTATCGTCCTCTGACCTCACAGCCCGTCACGACCAATCCAGAATTTCTACGTCACAGGTGAGAAGAGTCCCACGTTGACTTCGGTTGGTCTGCTGCTACGTATGCTGGAATAATGATTAACGGGCGTTAATTAGTATAAAGTGTGTAATATGGATGATCCCTTCGCCCTTCTTTGACACTTTATATATTTATGTTTCATTCAGCTGGTGGTAAAATAAAGGCGATTGAAATGAAATCTGAACCGTAAAGTCAGGTTCTAGAAATCAGTCACACTTTTCTGACATGATAACGAAAAGTTTGCAATAAAAGCTGCAGTTTGTACCGTACGCTGCATAGCTGTCATGTTTTACACACAAGTGTAAAGAAACATGTCTTTTTGTGGGTTTTGAAACCAGAACCATCTCCACAAGTGACGCAGCAAAAACTCTCAAAAAGTAGTCTTAAATGTTCAGGCCTGTCTAATGATGTCAGCTCGGAAAGTTGTCAGAGCAGCTCATACCTGTGGACAGAACATGTGTCTCAGGACTTGGTCATTTATGCAATTAAGCCCAAAACTGTTCATACCTATCCCACATTTTGATTTATAGTGAATTTTCATTTGACTAATGGAAACATATACAATAGGCATTGTGTACCATGAACATCTCACCGTCTTGTTACACTTTTTTGTCATTTCCGAGGATAAAAAAACCTGTTGGTCAAATGAAAATTTACCATAAATCAGAATTTGGCACGAATATGAACGATGGTATGGATCTGTGTGAGGCTGCATCTGATAATTATAGCCTGCTGCAGTGTGTTTCTGTCAGAGGGAGTTTAAGTCCTCCTCCTGATTTTCCATTCTTTACCCGTTGCAGGTCAGCGTGCCATTTGAGCACCTCGGGAAGTAGGATGTCTTTGGCTCTGCATGCACGTGGAACTGACAGGTGAGGCGTAGCTTCAGTATTTTATCCACATGTTCACTGTAAATACACCAGTACAGGCCTCCTCTAACGACAGTCCCTTTGTTGTTGCAGGGCTGCAAGGTATATTTGTCGCTACGGTTTATTTTCCTTTTATTCTTACCTTGTTTTATGAAAATATTGCTAACGGACACTTGGGTCTTTGGAGAAGGACAGTAAATCTTTCAAGGATCCAGTACATGACGGTATCCGACACGCTTTCTTTCATGCCGAACCTTGGATCACCACCACCACGACAATACGGAAAGCAAATGACAATGCTGCACCTTGACAGTTGCTCATACCTGCCCTCCTCTTCCTCAAAACATTCCCTCAATACTCTAAAATGTGAAGAACTGTTGGCGTCAAAGAAGCGAAAAGGTATCAGGGACACGCATGTTTCTCATCAGAGGCTGATATCGGCTCAGTAACAACTTTTCTTTTCTAACAGCAAAACAGCTTCTTTTTTTTTTTTTTTTTTTTACTCATCGTTCATGAAGATTTCTTAAATTGGAGTTTCCTCATTTGGCTTTTCTTTTTTGAAAGAAATAACAGCTTAAAGATAAACGGGGACACGTACGTGAGAGGACGGTGGACGAAAAGAAACTTTGAAAAGGATACGCAAGTGGTGTTAGCTGTTGTGACGTCTCGAGGTTGCTCGCCCTTTATGCATTTTGTGATGATTTACTGTCCCTGGAAACGTAGCCGTCAGCGTCTTCATCGCCCCTTTTACGTTGCCTGTTTTAACTTGAGTGTTTTCTTTGGTTTTAATGTTAGTGGGTAAAGTGTGACCATAGACACTCCTACGTCTTGAGGGAAGCTCCTCAGGAAATTTTCAGCGTAACCTATATTTGACCAGAGACCATAGCCGCCCGTTTTGGCTAACAAATAGCGGCTGCAGTTTTTATGATAGTTCTTAATGTTACCTTTTTTTATTCTTTTGTTATTGGAGGTAATAAGGGAGTGGGCCGACTCTGTGAGGGAGGACATTTTGGAGGGAGGGAGCATCCAATTATTATTATTATTTTTTAATGTTTACTCCAATGTAAATATTTTTTTTTTAATTTCATTGTAAAGCCAAAATGTGGTCGTTTGTTTTAAGGTGTAAAGTAGAAAAATGCATACTAATGAGAAAAACAGGGGCTGGGTTCAGACACTTGGGTATTTAAAGTACTAAATTGTGGGATGGACGACTGTTCCTGTGCCAGCTGGGTCATCATCTAACATGTTGTGTGAGTGTGTGTGTGTGTGTGTGTGAGAGAGAGTGAATCCCTGCTAAGAGTACTACGTTCATTTTGTCTTTTGTTTGTATGCAAATAGTTTTTATCTCTGTATTTATGTTAAACATGTTTTTACTTGTCTAAAACTACTTTCGGCCCTTTTATTCTTTCCCCTTTCTTCCATCTTCTTGTAAGTTATTAGAATAACCTTTCCTCTTTCGTTCTTCTGCCTGTCCACCTCATGCAATACTTTAGGGCTTTCGATATTTCTTCTGCAAAAATGATACGCTAATAGTTTGATGTCACCTTTTTTGGATTTTTAACCTCCAGCAATCTTGATGATGTCATTCAGAAGAAAGCATAACTGATGCAATCGCAGGGACGTGTAAATAGACGCGTACGTGGTGTAATTACCTTTGTACAGGCCGCCATGACCCAGTGGCATTGTGACTGTGGGGAAGAGGACGAGGCAGCGGGGGTTTTCACTTTATGTATTGTGTACTGATATCATGTACAGTTCTTTAACACACTTTATTTACAGTATTTGTGTATATTTTATGAAGTAATAAAAATTAATAACGTTGCTCACAACTGCTGCTGACTTTTCCTTTGCTCACTGTGGTGGTGATTTATATTTTCACTAAAAATCTTTTTCTATCACGCCAAGTCTTCCATTACAAACATTTTTCCTTTTCAGAGTCTCTCAGAAGAATACATATATATACATATGATTTTTTTGCTATAACCACATATAGAACACATCCTCTTGGACTTTTTATTCTCAATGTCAGCTACACAGACAGCAGCTTTGTTGTGATTATAATCAGTTATTTATTTGAGATATTGTGTTCCAGCACTTTATGCGTGAACCTTTTCGCCGTCTCTACTCCAGGACAATTTAAAAAGTTAGTCACACACATTACCAAAAAAAAAAAAAGAGTATTTCCAAGTCCTTAGCATGTGATTATAGCTGCATAAACAACCATCATAAATAAGAGTTAGAGAATAACTGGTGGCCTGCGTTTACTGTGATATTAATGTGGAAAGTAGGCTAAGCATATTAAGAAAATTGACCTTATTTTGTATTCTTTTTACTCTCAAAAACCTTGCAGTTATCAGGTTAAAATCTAAAAAAAACAAATGAACACAATGACCCAGCTGTATGAAGTGACATCATGCTCAACAGCAACGACATCAGAGAACGGCAAAGGCGTGACTGCGCATGCCCAGAGCTGCTGCTGCTGCTGCTGGCCGTTGCTTCTGTTGATGGGGTGAAGTGCTGATGTTGATGTTGGTGATATAACGGTGTGCGGTCCATCAGCGACGGGTGGAAAATGGCAATATAATACCACTAGTTAATTTCACACCCATCTAAACGATAGCAACAGAGTGTGTCGACTCTTTAAAGTCTATCGTAGTTTTGACTTTACGGTGAAGAAGCAACAGTAAGTTAGCGTTCAGCTAGCTAGGCTTGCTAACGCTAGCTAGCAGCGGCGTAGTTGAGGCTCAGCTGCCGACACTTAGCAGCTTCATACAGAGGAGGAGAGGCGAGTTTCCGGGGTTCGGACAACGATGCAGTGATTACATACGTGGCTGGTTGTCGTCTGGATGTTTGCGCTTTCGCCGGGATAAACTTCGTACACTCCGAACAAGTCGAGGTGATGAGCTAAACCGATGCCCAGATTGAGCCCAGCGCACATCAAACAACTGCAGAGGAGGTAAGCAGGATGGAGTCCGTCCGTGGAGACACACGCTACCATTTTACACTTTGGTGTTTGTTTTGGATTACTCGGTACCTATCGAAATCAGCAGCACTGGGGGTAAACATTGCCCCAGAATGTCCATTTAATATCAAGATGTTCTGCGGATGTGTGGCCAGATGTTAGGGTTAAAAACTGGGAACCTGCAGCCTCGTTGTTTGTGGGATTCATCACAGCAGCACCATGGAAATGACTTGTGGTAACAGCTAAGTGGCTCTGTTGTCTGCACTGCCTCTTAATGAACACAGCCTGGGTGGCCTGATGCGTTGACAGTATGTTTGAGGCTCCTCTCCTCGCCTGAAGACTTATGGCATGTGACAAAGACAGCTGATTCAATTCAGGTCAAAGCACAATACGTGTTTTGATCGAAGCCATCGGTGCAGTCAGCAGGATTCATTTTGGTGCCTTCCTCTCTTGTTTGTGAGACACTGGGAACGAGTGGTTGTGGTCTTTGTGAGTGCATGTATATTGTATCTCACAGTAGATGCTGTGTGGATCAGTTTTAATTATTTGTTATCATGAATACATCATTTTCACACTGCCACATAATCAATACTGCAGATAAATTATAGATTTGACTCAGCAGCAGGGTAGTAATTGTGAAGCTGTGTAATGACAATAAAGTCTTTCCCTCAATGTCAATACATAAAACAGTACCTTACCAAGGATGCCACAGTTAATGGATTCAATGGTTAAATTAATCATCAACCACTATAATAATCAAGGTAGTTTTTTAACAAAAAAAAATCTCTATTTCCAGTTAAAATGTGACTATTTTCTGTTTTTCTTTCCCTCCTCTCTGACAGTAAACTGAATATCTTTGAGTTCTGGACAAAACACAGGATGTACACATTTACATTTTTCAACTTTTCCTCACTGAATAACCAATCAATTAGTCGAGAAAGTAATCAACAGATTAATTGACAGTTAAATCAGAATCAGCTTGAATGGCCGAGTATGGACACAACATACATAGAATTTGGTCCCGGCTGTTGGTGTCGCCCTGGGAATGAGCAATAGGAAAAGAATAACAATAAAGTAAAATAAGTATAGAAAGAAAAAAAATAAAAATAAAATAATAATAATAAAAAATAAAATATATACAAGAATGTGCACATCTAGAAGAAAAAAATATATAATATAGTAATTATATATGAAGTGTATAATTAAGTGTTTGTTGCAGGCCTGTACCTTACCGCTATATGTTTGGACACAGAGAATCAGCTGTTAATTAGTCCACATGATGTTGATTTGTTATTTGGGTAAGTCACAGAGGAACTGTCGACTTCTTCTGTAATCACACAAATCTGAAAAAGGAATTCTGGCTGTCTGTGGTATTTCTTCAAAACAGTCCAGATGTACAGAACATTTTCTGTACCGCCTTAGCTTCATTTTCAAAATGTTTTTTGCCTAATTGTCAAAGCGTGCATCTCATGCGTATGTGACACACTGATATGTTTCATATTACTGCATCACCACGAGCTGATCGAGTCTCTGGTGAGCAGCAGTCATCGGTGACAACGCTGTGCACCAGCCTACATTTAGCTGGTGCACGGAGGGGTTTGACAGTTATTGTCAAATTAGTTTTCATTATGAATGATTAGATTATTGCCTTCCTGGAATCCACACCGAGTCACTGACGTAGTTGGACAGATGACAGTATGGAGAGATGTGCTTTGATGGTGATGGAGAATCCGTCTGGATGCTTGTGATGATGTGATCTCCAGTTTGACCTGTCATGTGTAATAACGAGATGCAGACCTCTTAATTTCTGTTAATTATTGTTCAAATGTTAAAGTATGATGATTTTTCCTATTAGATTTGGGGAACAAAACTGAAACCCAACAACATCTTTATCATTTTTTAGGTGTACATTAGGACTGAACAATTAATAGATTTGAAATTGAAAACAAGGCTGCAATTTAGGATATGCAACCTGACTGACCCCTGGTTTAAAGTGGGTTCACAATGTTTTTACAAATTCATTCATCATCTCTACACCTTGATCCTCACCAGGGTATCAAGGGGCTGGAGTCTATCCCAGCTGACTCAGGGTGAAGGCAGGTTCACCTGGACAGGTAACCAGTCTATCACAGGGCTACACTTAGAGACAGACAACCAAGCACACTCACATTCACACCTACGGACAATTTACAATCACCAATTAACTTCAGCATGTTTGTGGACTGTGGGAGGAAGCTGGAGAACCTGGAGAGAACCCACGCTGCACGGGGAGAACATGGAGACTCCACGCAGAAAGATCCCGGGTGTCCTCACTGGGATGCAAACTGGCGACCTTCTAGCTGGACGGTGCTAACCACTGAGTCAGGCTTACAGCCCTTGCAATAAGATATTTCCCCCAAATTGTTTAAACATGGTGTATATAGGTTGCATTCAGCTTTATGTCAGGAAACTGTCTTATTGTCGCAGCTGTCTGAGGGCCTAGTTGTGTTCAGCCTACACCTTCACATTGATTTGTGGAGAAATGTTCCACTATTCTGTACACAGATGTCTGTGTGTAGTATCATTTCTAGTCACACTACACATACATTATGCCCTGAGCCGAGCAGAGAGAAAAAAGGGGGGGAGAAACTGGGTCAGCAGATCTCGGCTCATTGCTGTCACACTCTGTCTTTTAGGGATTTTCAGCCCCACTTCCAGCCCACATCTTGACGTGTGTGGTTTTCACCCTCTTCACCAGCCTCCCCTCACTCACCCACCGTATGCCTCCTCTTCACTCACCGTTTTGATCTCGCTTCCTCTGTCAATCCACACAATCTCTTCAGATGTGTGCTCTGTCCTACTTTGCTCTGCTCCGTATCTTTTTTTGTTTCTCATACCCACATCCGCAGATGTTGGATTTGAGATTACGGTCTTCGACTGTGCAGCCCTGCTGACATGCATTTACGCATTACGCTGTTTTATTCAGGCTGTTTAACTTGAGCTTCTGCAGTTGTATGTTGATGGCTGTTGTTGGTTGTTGTAGGCTCCCAAACATGTAAAACGTGTAGGTTGAATGAGTTTGTATTAATAAAACCGTTTCCTCATACAGATGAGTCAGCTTTGGTGGCGAGCCAAACGGCTGTCGGAGAACTTGGGGAATGTCTCTCCTAATGGCCTCCCCCCGGGGTCCCCAGCCACTGTGGCCCCCCAGGGACCCAACTCCTCCTGGGTGCCAGAAGCCCCAGTGGTCACACTCGAGGAGCCAATTTTCCTCATGACCTCCACAGCTCAGACGATATCAGGATTCTTTGTTTGGACAGCTCTTCTGATCACATGTCACCAGGTAAGGACAGCGTTTGAAGCTTAACTCAAAACTCCAAAGATGTCAGGTTCAGGTTATTGAAAGGAAAGTCAAAACCTGGCATAGTATCATTAAACAAAACATTAAAACCATACCTGCTAACTTATTGTATGTGGCTGTAAGTAAGTAGTTAGTCCACAGCATCGGATTAATCTTGTCTCCATGTCTGGGATCATTTATAATTATTGATATTTGATGAAGTTACTGCTGCCTCGTGCGTAAATGCACACAACTCTCAAAGATGCTCATATGAACACACTGCCTGATGCTTTGTATATTTAATAAACTCAGAGGAAGGACGACCGCAAACAGCTGAAAGCAACAAACTGAACTTCGTTTCCTCTCATTAATCTGACTTGTTACAGATTCTGTTTTCATCGCAGTAAATATTCATTTTTATGCATGTTTCAGTTTATAATAGATGTAAAATTATAGGACCAAGGGAATGAGAAAGGCGTGTTGTGCTTTAAGTGTCTCTCTGTGATGTTTTTGGACGAATATTGGTGTTTAAATGTGATTAAAGTCTTCCTCAAATCACTTCATGCAACTCCCAGTACTGTCACTTGTGGGTGCCTAATGTGACCACATGCAGGTCAGACTTGTGCCGTGTTGAAAGTGACTCTGAAATGTCTCTAGGTCCAACCTGGTGAGAGTGCTGTTTTGTGGAACACTGACCAGGGTGCTAATTCAAACAGGAAGGCTATCAGATGAACAGAAAGGAGTGTCTGTCTGACCGGGGCCAAGAGTTTTTAAAGGAGGTTAAAACCGACAGCAGAGAGAAAACAGGAAATACGAGGAGGCAGACTTGAGGAACGAGAACAAAAATGCTCCCGACAGGATGTGAATTGGGGATGTTGCAGTTCGTGGTAACCCAAAGGCCACAAGGGAGCTGCCACATGCTAAGTCTGACTGACTGAGGATGATTAGGAGCTCACCCAGAATATACGGAAAGAGCTCAGTGAGTCCAGCTTTGACTGCTGCTTATCTGCAGCTGATAGGAAGATAGTTTATGTTTCCTGTGTGATGTGAACAGTGGTTTTCAAATCTGTGAGTAAAGAACGCGCTCAGTGTTAGTGCCTGGTTTGTGTTTTTTTCAGTGCTCACGTTACACAGAAGTGTTGAGTGAGTGTGAGGCACATCTATTGTGCTTAGAGGCATAGATGGATGGATGGTTTGTCTTCCAGTGTTTGCTGATGCTCTTTACACGCAGGGTTAAAGAATAGCCTTCTGTCACTCTAGCAACAGGTGCTCGTGGCTCAACGACGACGACATCATCAGAGAGCAGGAGGGTCACCTAGCAACAGGGCCTGTGAGTGCACGGTCTCGCTGGTTGCATTGTCACCCAGTGTTTGCAGTTTTACAAAAGGTGTGTCTGTTTACAGGCCAGGAAAGGTGATAGGTGGGGGGCATTGTGTAAGTGGAAAAGCGCCGGATGGAGCAGACGGAGGTGCCGGTGACAGAGGCCCACCCTGCGCTCCCTCGCTTCCTGCCGTCTGCTGTCCTGAATAGGGGGTGATTACAGCCGAGTATCAGTTACCTGAAACGGCCCCACGTGTTCGTGCATGCTCCCAACACACACCCTGCAGACTCCCACCACTCCAGCATCCAACGTGAGCTGGCTGCACGCATATGGGTTTCATGAGGAAGCAGTCGGTTTCAGCCGACTTGTTGATCCAGCACATTCTGAACCGTGGCTTCACGATGAGGAAGCTGATGCATACTCGTGTGCTCTTTTCTCATTGTTTATTATGATATGCATCTTGATCGCAAAAATTAGAGATGGTCTTTCAACCCACTTTTAATTTATATAATGTCGTGGCTGCATCTTGCATGGGCAGACGTATGAACACGTGTCACAGCTCAGTAGTTTCTGCTACAGTGGGTGTGTCTGGAATCAATTTTTGCCGTGATGACAGACACACACAGACACACACAGACTCACAAAGTCAATATTGCCGATGCTAAAGAATTCTGAAACTCATTTTTTACTCCCAGGCATCAGTTGCCGTTGACAGAACAGTCTGAGGTGCTGCATCACAGTTAGCGGCGGCAGTTGATAGAAACTTTACTTGCATAATTAATAGACAGTATAGAAACTGAAGTGCAGAAACTGGTTTGATCTTGACTTTTTAGTAGGAATGCAGGCCGTGCAGATGAAGCTGCACCATCCTTCTGACTTTACAGGTTTGAAGCAGGGGGTGTCAACAGTGTTACCATAGCAATACCTGGCTTTTGGAGACCAAGGGTTTACTGCGCTGTCTCTTTTTGATCCTCAAATGTGGGCTCCGGTTATCGTTGTGAAGCAGAATTCACCGAGCATTCGATTGTTTGCCCTCGAGTAGGGAACCTGAGCTGGGAGCACACTGCTGTCAAACTGGTTGTGCTGAGTGTGTAGGATCTCTGTGGTAACGCCAGAGTCCAAATGATTTCATAAATGATAAAGGAAATACGGTAATGGCTGCTCCTGGAGTGGCTTATGGAAGATTACACAGAACTGTTAGATCTGGTAGTTTTGCAGAGCTAATTAAAGAATATGTCCTTACATGCTACGTTAGTCACCATCCGTAGAGATGAACGTATAATGACATAATAGTGTAATAATATGTGATATCTAATGATCAGCTGTGCAGGGACTCGTTTTCTTTACGTCCCATCAGTCTGGTTAGATCATTGTGTCCTTCATCATTGAGCATTTCGGAACATGTCACCTTTTTCTGCCCTCTTTTCTTTCCTCTTTTCAGATCTACATGCACCTGCGTTACTACAGCTCTCCAAATGAGCAGAGGCACATAGTTCGGATCCTCTTCATCGTCCCCATCTACGCCTTTGACTCCTGGCTCAGCCTTCTGTTCTTCACCAACGAGGAGTACTACGTGTACTTCGACACGGTCCGAGACTGCTACGAAGGTGAATGGACAAAGGACAACACTACAATGGAGCGCTGCCGTATCTGGCGAGCACACAACAGGTCGTCTTTCACCGCAGTGGCGAGTGAAAGTTTTTCTTTTTCACTGTGTGTTTTGACTCCCAGAAGAAATAAGGGTGTGAGAATTTATGTGTTGTGATTCTCCAGCGGCAGATGGCCTCTGCAGTGTCTTCATTTACAAAGGTTCCTATCTTTGTTCTCACGTCTCCGTGGCCTGTTGGGATTGCAGGGGAGGGGAAACCTGTTTCCTAGCAACTGTGTGAAAACGAGCAAATCCTTGAGAAAGCATTTCACATGTAAGCAGTTAAATCCAAACAGCCTGTAACGTATGTAGCGTCAGTGGATTGTCCCAGAGTGTTCCTGTAGAATTAGAGGGGAAAGAGATAAGACAGGTCTTCATTAATTCTGAGGAAAATTCTGCCAACTTCATCACACAGTTACATAACATGGTACAGTTCCATGAATGGAAGTTAAATTATTTCATCATCACGTGTGCTTTATTAGGATTACTGCTCGTAGATGCATGTAAGACTGAATTTGAACGTAGGCTCTCAACTTAAGTTTGAACTAGTCAGAATGATGTAGATCTAAATGTACAGTCGTGACTCGATAATCCGACACTAAATGTAAAACCTTCTTCTGTGTCGGATATCAAGGCTGTCGGATTGTCAAGACGGAGTTCCAGATACAAGGAGGGCTTGATGCTGGAAGGCTCATTAGTTGTTCATTATTGTTCATAGTTGTTATAATAACTAGTAGGGCTGGTCCCAATAGAACTTTCTGCTCTCTGGATATTTGGGCCCAATTAATGATGAATATCAGAATATTCGGTGCGGTCGGGGGCCACTTCCACCCCGGGGCAGCGCTCTGACGGGGTGGAAGTGTCCAGAACACACAGGCAGTACTTGGCTGCTGATGCTAGTTTAGTTAGCGCTCACACTTCTGTTTCCTCCATCGGTGGCGGCGGGGGAGTGGCAGATACGCTCCACCGTTACCATCCATGTTTACTTCCATAAACACTGAGCACGCTCGCTGCGTGTGACGTCGTCGTGTCCTCTTCTGCGCATGCGGGACACTTTTGGCTCGTATGAATTTCACACAGCAGATCACATACAAGTCGCATTGAACTGGAAACGTGAAGGAAGTCACAAAGAAATCCTCATTGAGCATCAAGTCCTGCAGTGTGAACGTAGCCAATCTGTGGGATTGTTCAGTCAGATAATACGCCGTCATCCTGATTGGTGACATTAAATGTCATGTCGGAGTCAGAATCCAAGGCTGTCGCTATGTTAAGGCTGTTTTTATGGGTTCTGTTTGTTTTTCTTAAAAGCCTGTCGGATAGCAAGATTTAGGATTGTTAATGATTGGATTATCGAGTCACAGCTGTAATTACAGGTGTCTTGAATTACAGTTTTGACTTGGCTAAAGGATGCTGCAGATACCTGTAGTTATGTCAGAAGCTAAGGCCAGGTGGAGGTGGAGGCAGCACCACAACCATGACTGCATGTAATAAGCTGTTTTACAGTGACGTCAGAGAGACCACAGTTCTAGTTTCTATCTTCTAATGATCTTATCCACCACTGTTTAGCTTCTTTGAGGCTCCAATATTATGTAATTATAGTTTGTCCAGCCTGAATTACAGATAGCTCTAACTGTGGTTCTGACTGGTCGGAGTGGTGTAATAGATATCTGAAATAAAAATTCTCACTAATCATAGTGTATCGACAGACCGTCAGTTAATATCTGTAGTTCACTATTAAATGTTGAGGCGTGTGTGTGAAGCTACACAACAATATATGGCTGCATTTCTTCTTGTGGGGGTTTTCTGCCTACCTCAGCTTTAAAATAAAAAATGATGCCTGCATCACTGCACACAATGACGCCACCGTAAGCTGAGTTGGTCAGGAACCATCGGGGCCATCTGCTGTTTCTGGCCACGTTATCCTGCCTCGGTGCAGGCGTCACACAGGCCGAGCACAGTAACACCTGAGACCCCGTGCACAGGTAGAGTCCCCCCCTGCATTCAGAGGTGTGTTCTGATTAATGTAACAGCACTTGAATAGTTGATGTTTACAAGGCAGAAGGCTGTTTATACATTCATCTGCTGAAACTGGAAAGTATCTAAAACCTGAGTGTGTCTATGAGGAAGAATATTGATCCCACTAGTTTGTAAGTCAGTCCTGATCCAGCAGGTGCGACGTCGATACACTGAGAATGACCTTTCAGGGATGCGGGAGGCATCTTGTGTTCGATTGGTAAACATCTGATAGGAAAACGTGCATATTTGTAGATTTTCTAGTGATGGAGAAGCTGTAGGTTCATTTTAGTTTCTGCTAAACAGCTCATTTAACTTAAAACATATCAGACACAAAATATTATCTAAGCAGAATATTTTTGGTTTATCTTTGAACTCGAGTGTAAGGGGTTTAATTAGTTGATTGATTGATTTTATTATTGTGCCATACACATATATATATTAATGGGCTGCAAGGTGGCTCGGTGGTTAGCACCGTCGCCTCGCAGCTAGAAGGTCGCTGGTTGGTGAGGACACCCGGGATCTTTCTGCGTGGAGTCTCCATGTTCTCTCCGGGTTCTCCACCTGTCCAGGTGAACCTGCCTTCACCCTAAGTCAGCTGGGATAGACTCCAGCCCCCCACCACCCTGGTGAGGATTAAGCAGTGTGTAGATGATGGATGGATGTTTAAGTTTGGATAGCCTCTGCTCACAGAATCTCAGTAACTTATTAACTCGGCAGGCCTTCATCGACTTGTTATGGCTTGTAAGGCAGGTCATGAGCCTTCAGTAGATACTGTCAGCTGATGACAACAACTCCAGAGCTGATCAATCCTTTGACTCTTTGAATCTTGTTGCCACACTCGACAACCATGAGCTCATCTAAACAACGGACTGATGCTGATTGGTGCCTCCAACGCAGAAGAAGGTTGTAAAGATGAAGTTTTAGGCTGAAGTGTTTTCAGCTCAGACTTTCCACTCTCAGAAATGTCATTAAGAAACGGCAGTTATGTGGGAACTGTGGAGACGTGATTTGGAGGAGCGAGGAAAGGTTTTGCCCAACAGATGCAAAATCTTTGTATGGCTGACAAGGAAAGGAAAGTTTAGCTGACATATTGTTATCCAGATATCAATTTTGAGATCCAACTATTCGCCCGCCAACACTTGAATTTGTTTAAAAGCGCTTTACTGTGTGAATAAATAAAGAAACCAATAATATAAATAATGTTCTGTCATATATTTTATGAAGACGCACGTCGATGTCCAGCTACATTCAGTGTCTGAGCATTTTAGAGGGAAAAACTACCATAAATGCAAGTATGCAACAGCGACAAAGCCAGCGACTGTTCTGGAGAGTGATGTCGGTGAGCTGCGATCACAGGCTCACTTTTAAGCTGAGCCACCTTGAACAGCAGAGAGGGCTGAGGCAGCGGGGAGCCGCTGTCTGTGCGTTACCCTTTCATTAGCCTGCAAACACCTGGGGCAGCGCATGGAAAACATTCTGCTCACTCAGGGACACCAATTACTGCGATCAGTGTGCAGTCCAGTCAGCTTTATTTAAATTGCATGTTACGTCTTATCAGAATAGTCAATAAATGATTGACCCGTACAGAGGCTGTGATGCAACGGTCCTGAAGGCTTTTTATTTTAAACTACTTGTCTAAATGTCAAAAGCGGAGCAGATGTGTTTTCTCAGATGATTATCAAAATAGTTATCGGTTGTATTTTCCATGACTGTGATGATGATTCTAGTTCTCTAATTCTAATTTCAAGCAGGTTTGTAAAGCAGAGCTGGAGAGGGGTCATCAGTCTGAGGCCACGCTTAGATAAAGTGATGGTATTTGTTCAGACTGTCCCTGAAATCTGTCATGTTACTGCAAAAGCAAACGCTGTACCTGGCCACATTGGGTGATTGCGTATGACAGGGCTACACAATATTACTTTTCAGCATTGGCAAGGAAATATGCAAGATTTTCAACAATAAGTAAATTAACCCAAACACATGCTACAGCTTTGTTACTACTGGATTTATGATTCATCTACAAGAGAGGTCTCTCTGCTAAAACATCATTCACTCTGATTCAGGGAGTCTTGGATGCACAGGTTTTTTTTAATTTACTTTATTTACAAGACATTCGCAGGCTCCACATGTGTCCAGCAAAATAAGTGAGGAATGTTGGATGTTGTTTCCGTGTGTTCTAGTTGTATAAATGCAGCTAATCATGTCTGATCTGTATGTCCTTGAACTACAGAAGTAATCAGCAGTAACAAATGAGCATAAATGGTGTATTTGCTGGTTAATAGAAAGTGGGAATGATTTCACTGAGTTGTTTTCTGTTTTCCAGCCTTTGTCATCTACAACTTCCTGAGTCTGTGCTACGAGTATCTGGGAGGAGAGAGCGCCATCATGGCTGAAATCAGAGGGAAACCCATCGAGTGAGTCTTGTCTGCTGTCGTCTTCCCTTTCTGATATAATCACCTACTTCAGTAATGTTGTATTAACACAGCCTGTGTACTTTTCTGGTTATTTTGACCTGTTTTAACCTGCACTTCACTTTAGGTCAAGCTGCATGTACGGGACCTGTTGTCTGTGGGGCAAGACCTACTCAATTGGGTTCCTCCGGTTCTGCAAACAGGTACCAGTCCCTTCCTCTGGCTCATACATTGTTTAACCGTTGGATGCTGACACACCCCATTTTCTGGGCTGCTCTTAAAGTATTTGTTGCATCGAGGTATCGCACATCTTTACAAACATATAGAACTTCACGACTTGACCTTTCCAATGACTGATCTGTTCACTGAGGTGTTGTTATCAATATGATGATCTTGTTCATGTGAAAATCTACTTTCAAGGAATTCAGATTTGAATCTCTTCCACCACAGTGACTGTTACGTTTTCCACTCTTGCCTCCGCAGGCGACTCTCCAGTTCTGCGTGGTGAAACCCCTGATGGCCGTGATCACTGTCATTCTTCAGGCCTTTGGGAAATACAGAGATGGAGACTTCAAGTATGTTTCCACAGCATCTCCCTGAGCAGTGGTTCATGGTTCTGACTCACTGGGCTGTGTCACTGCACCGTAGACGTTATAGCGACACAGGTTGAACCAAAAGTCTTGTCCGACTTTAACAGCTGAGCAGCTTTGGATCAGCTTTTATAAATGCAGAAGCGTCACATCCCTAATGAGTGCTCATGTTCAGAGTATGTAAATTCAAGTCTCCTGATACTTTAGGATGAAACATTTGGGGAAATATCTCTGATTTGGGTTTTTCTGATTTGATTTGCAAAGTCAGTTCAGAAACTGTGCTACAGATTTAAAACGTGTGATGAACCATTACCACATGAGATACGAGCTAAACCCTGAAGTGCAGCCTTTGCAACCCGCTAATCAAAGTGTTTCAACTGTGATTGAAATTTGTGAAAATGAAAACATGCGATTTGCTTAATTGTTTAGCTCTACCATTATGATGTAGTTCTTTGGTAATTGATCTGTTTTGGCTTAATTTAATTTAAAGGGCTGCAGGTTTTCTACCTTGTGACACGTGATCTGCTTGTTGTGCCTCTCCATCTATGTGATGTCTTCTCCCCTCTCTCTTCCAGCGTGGCCAGTGGCTACCTGTACGTCACCATTATCTACAACATCTCCGTCAGTCTGTCGCTCTACGCGCTCTTCCTCTTCTACTTTGCCACGCGTGAGCTGCTCGTCCCTTACAACCCTGTGCTCAAATTCTTCATGGTCAAGTCCGTCATCTTTCTCTCCTTCTGGCAGGGTAAGAACGCCACGTTCACAAACCGATAACCTAATACATCAACCTTCCACTTTTACTGAAAGCTACCTCAGCTGGGTAATTGGCTAAAAGACAAATGAAGCAAGCTCAGAGGTCGAGCAGTGGTAACTGGCACAAGAAAGGCTGCCATGCCAACCATTCCACTTTTCTCCCAGTTCTGGGTTTTTAGTCATGCACGGATTTATAATTGCTTTTGAAGCATGTGGCTGAAACTCACTTCAGCCCCTTTCAGACATGCGCTCCTTTCCGTTGTCCTAATCTGATGCCATCTTAACGTGTCAGCTTCATGTCTGAATGAGCACCCTGCTTTAATTATAAAGGTCTTAATAGAGTCATAGCAACATTTCTGTACCAGTTTTGACACAAGTCTTATGTGCATGCAGGGTGGATAGATGGATGGATGTCGGTGAGTAGGGAAGCGTGAATATACCAGGCTGTTAGTTATCTGGACAGTCTGATAAGCTACTGTTAGTTTTTTTTTTCACATTAATGTAAAGTGACTCGATAATCGACCCTTAACAATCCTAAACCTGCTATAGTGTCGAATTATCGAGTCACGACTGTATTCAAAAGGCAGAACGCCGTCACTTCAACATGCTAATAAAATTACACATTATAAAACGGTCTTTATCAGCTCCTCTATTTTTGCTCTCTTCAGGGATGCTGCTGGCCATCCTGGAGAAGTGCGGCGCTATTCCTCAGATCACCTCCGCCGACTTCTCCGTGGGCGAAGGAACAGTTGCTGCCGGCTACCAAAACTTCATCATCTGCATCGAGATGTTCTTTGCTGCTGTTGCTTTGCGCCACGCCTTCACTTACAAGGTCTACATGGACAAACGGCTGGACTCGTACGGTAGGTGTGGTGTGTCTGAGAGAGAGAAGGGAGAATGTCTGGAGTGTAACTGAGGGGTTGAGATTAAAAAGGAAAAGCAAACGGTGTCGATAATGAAAAGTCTGTATGTTACAGCTTGCATTAGAATTTGCAGTCTTTCAGAGCTGATTTCTCTCTTTGTTTACCTCCCTTTTGACGCTGATTCCTGCTTTTACCACTAACATTTGGAATCATTCTCTTTTTCTTCTGCTCTGTTTTTCTATTCCGTCATTTTTATCTGAACTTCCTTGTCTTCCTTGTCTTCCTTTATTTCGTTTTTCTCTCTTCATTGCACTCAAAGGCTCCTTTCCTATCTATGGACAGTACGGTAGGTCCCGTGTCAGCTGTGTTCGTCTGTATCTGCATCGTTTCTGTTTATTAAAAATGCTTTTTGTCGGCTGTTGTTTTGTGGTTGAAAGCCCATTTCTTTCATGATTTTTGTTCAGCATGAATTCCCTTCATGTCTTGAATTAGATTGTTATTATTACTGCTATTGTTGTTAATGTTACTCTAGAAATTATGAATATTTTTTGTTTTGTTTGCGTACATTTAGTTTGCGCTCAGTTCAGTCAGCATTTGATCATTTTGTGTTTCCTTCTCCAGCTTCAGTCTTTGTTCCAACTCAGACTGGCCGGTCCTCTCTGTTTCTCTCATCCGATTAATCATTGTCCTGCTCGCTAAACACAGAAAGAGAGAAAAGATGTAGAGTATGATCAAAAGACAGATAACTAACTGAAGGAAACTGATGCTGACTGTCCACCTGCCTTGTGGTTCTGCATTAGATAGAAGTTAATGCATTTATCATGACCCTGACTGATACCAACCACCTGTTGTTTTATTAAATAACACGCATGTCTTCATTTGAGGAGCATATTTTTTCTTCCATCCTGCTATTTCAGTTCTGTTAAACCTTTTTTTTTTTTTGCAAAGATTTATGTGGAAAACTCACCAGACAACCTGTTTTGTTTTGTTTTTTTGGCCATTTGTCGTCGCTCCCTGTTCATCTTTTAACGCCGTGGTCTCAAACTCACCTTACGGGGGCCGCTGGAGGCAGAGTCTGGGTGTATTCCCCCCAAAAGGGTTTCAAGCATTCCAAAAAAAGTACAACTGATCCAGTTTTCTCAGTCTTTATTCATAACAATTCAGAACACAGGCTCCTCCTCCCTACTCCTACCTACACTTCCTCTTACAGCTCAGCCACATTTGGCTTGAGGGAGGAAACATTTGAGACCCTCAGTGTGGCTTGAAGATGCTCATCAGTAAGTCTGGACCTGAACTTTGACTTATTAAAGTTCATGGTGGAGAAGAGCTTTTCACACAGACAGAAAAAAACATGCATTTGCACTGACAGGATGTATGTTCCCTCCACTCTGTGACGCTCCTGAATCACGTTTCAAGTGACTAGCGTTGCTAATTTGTGTTGCTGTCACGATCCTGAGCTATGGTAGTCCACAGGTGATAAAATATATAAAACGCCCAGGGCAACGACTCGTTAAACTCTGATGTCAAGTAGGGGGCCACAAAATATCGTCCAGCTGGCCTCAATTGGTCCACGGACCGCGAGTTTGAGACCCCTGATTTAGCGCCTCTTTAACCCAATCTTTCCGTCCCACCTCTAGGTCGCTGTGCCCCCATGAAGAGCATCTCCAGCAGCCTGAAGGAGACCATGAACCCGGGCGACATGGTCCAGGACGCCATCCATAACTTCTCCCCAGCTTACCAGCAGTACACCCAGCAGTCCACGCTGGAGCGAGGTGGGGGGCCGCCGCTCTCCCGCAGCCACAGCAACCTCAGCACCCGCGGGGACAATGAAAAGACCCTCCTGCTCAGCTCCGACGACGAGTTCTGAGCGTCTCACACACACTCAGAGGCTCGCTGTGCTCCAGCTGTGTGAGACAAATCAGATCTTTTTATTTCAAGTTTAACTTAGAAGATCAGATGTTTTTTTTTTTGTTTTTTTTTAGATAACAACAAAAGATCCAGTGTGGGTCGATAGAGGTGGAAGGGAGTGTTTTATAAGACAAAAGAAGTGGGGAAAGGAGGGAGGTGTGATGGAATGGGAGATGTTATAAATGGAGCGAGGTTGGGATCCATTCAGCTGTTCTTTGTGTCATAGTTGCAGTTCTGGGGCCATTACTGGATTTATATGTGGAATATTGATCAGTACAAATAACCGTGCCTGCATATAGCATCTTAATTCTGCACTTTAGACTCTACGGCAAAAAAACAAACACAATGCTTTATATGAGCTAGAGGGAATAAGTGCCATCTTCACCTGAAACACACGGCCTCTTTAATTGTTCCGTTTTTATATTGGTTCTCGATCCGTTCGCCTCCTCAACCCCTCCTCAACCCCTCCTCAACCCCTCTGCCAACTCTGACTGAAACATTGCCAAATTCGTGGAGCAGTTCTCCAGTAATGAGTCTTAAAGTTTAGGGATGATTTATATTCAACGTGAGGAGCCTTTGAACTGCTGAGTTCATTTTGATATGTGAGTTCCATCACAAATAATTATCTTATTTAAACGTCGTACGGCCTTGCAGGTAAAACTCGTTTAGATCGATGGGAAGTCGTTATAAATATACTGTGTGTTTATCATTGTGGGTTCATCTGAACCAGCGACACAAAAGCGTGACTCCAGCTGTTGGTCTGCAGTTTTGTGGTTTTGTGGAGCGCCGAGGGAACAGCTGCAGGAGAGATTTCCGTGTGGGCAGAGGGACTGACAGAAGGACAGCACCCACACAGATTACAGATTACCGAAGAGGAAACACTTCCCTGCAGAGCCGGCCCAGCTGTGATGCGCGGCGGATTGTAATCTCATAATTGTTGGCCTTACGTGCAGCGCGGACCGGGCCTGCCTCTGCTGGCGCTGTTGGTAACAGCACCACTGCTGTAGGGTCAGGACGCTGGTGTTTACAGAGGCCGACTGGACACACTGAATATATATTACACACACAGTAAGGTGTAGAAGGTTGAAAAAAACACAGTGGAAAAACCTTCAAGCTGGCCACACGTCTTCTGTTTTATCTGATCTGTTTTTCCAGCATCTATGGTTGAGTTACTGTTTGTTTTCAGCTGATGTTTAACGCGTTTTCACATGACCAGTATACTGTATAACTTGCTTGTGGTTGTGATCCTAGTTGTTTCATGGCAGAGGAGTCCCATTAGGCCCAGTGCTGCCTCTACATGTTTTCTGTTGGTGCAGAATCCCAGATCGGCAACACAGTCCTGGTGAGGAATGAATGCAGTCGTAAAGAAAAAACAGGTTGTTTATGTTTTGATGGGAAATTTTGTTTTTAAGTTGGCAGAATAATTAAAAAGCATTTGTTGAATTGTTAGCCAGTAATCCTTCCAGTTATCATCTCAACTATTAACACGTTGCTGTCCTTCAAAGTCAAGGTTTGTTCCATGAATGTGCATTAAGTTGATTTAACTACCTGATACTTTCCCCCAGTAACAGCATATCAAACTCCATCATCTTCATTCAAAACTCTGTCAGATGATAGTTTTGATACGATGTTTAAAAGCTGGATGTTATTTACGAAGCTGAATTTATCAAACCAGGGATACCTAAATGCTGTAAATAGAGTCAAACTGAGCGCTGCTGCGAAACAGTGACGGTGACGACTGTGATGGCATTGCTTGTGTAGTGCTCTGTTTGAATATTTTTGTGTTTTAATGAGTTCATTTCGTATATACTCTTATTTTATTCTTTGTTGTATACTTTTTGATTTGTATATCGGTAATATCACATGTTTTGATTTGATGCTATATTGATTTATGTTGGTGTTGCAAAAGAAATAAAACACAAATGGGAAAAAAGACATTTCTGCATACTGTCTTTCACTTAACTACTGTAATACTTTAAATTAAAAAAACAAAAAAATAAAAACAACACCTTATTGTAAGTAATTTACTGAGTAAGTTAGTTCACAATGTTTATCCTGTTGACCTGCAGAGTTTTAAACCACTTCTGTCTTCTGCATTACACAGCTGTGTGTCTCACTCACAATTATAGAGGAAACAATGGACATGCTTTTTGTATGGAGTAGTGAGAGTCCCTTCAAAAGCAAAGTAAATATGCACAGAAAAATGTGTGCAGCAGGACGGTCATTGTGCCGTTGCTTTTAAGACAACATTATAAAAAAATAAAATAATAAAATAAAATAAATCTGAAAATGAAAAAAATTATAAAAAATTAATAAATACTTTTTTTAAAAATTACTAAATAAAAAATAGAATAAAAGTAAATAAATACTGAATGAATTATTATTTTTATTATTTAAACTATTTCTCTTTATATTTCTACTTTTGTTAGCCTTTTTTATGAATTCATTTTTGATTGATATTGCTTTATATGCCACATTATTTGTTATTCTATTTATTCTTTTTATTTCCACTTTTGTTCTTATTTTATTGATTTATTTTTGTAATTTGGCACACTCACAACTCCATATTTATGTCTTGCTTGCTTTTTTTTTTTTAAATCTCTGATTAAAACTTTGTTTTGTTAAATAATAATGCATGAAAAATGTTTTGTTTTAAATAAATAAAAAAACAATGAGGAAACGTGGGGGGCGTGGCTTCTCCAGCAGCCAACCAATCACAGGAGCGTCTGTGCACCGGCTCGGTGCTAGGCTAATAATAACATAGCATTACCGCTGCGTCCTCATATTTAGTCAACTGAACTAATAGTTTTACTACATTTGTCACATCAGGAATGTGCTTCTTTGTTATTTTTGACTTTTCAACAAGCATTTAAGAAAACGACTGTTTCTTTATTTAGCCAGCGTTCCGGGCTAACGTGAGCATTTGTCTGAAACAGAGGGCGCGTCGGCTGTAGCTGCTGAGCTAGGCCACAGACAGTGACGATAAACGACAGCCTGAAGGAGGGAAACAGCGTTGTGGCCAAACCGCGCGTTTAAATAGTTGATTTATTAGTCACAGGCGAGCGACTGGCAGCAAAATGAGAGGTTCTTATGGAGACAGAGACCGAGACCGAGGCCGTGACAGAGGGTAAGAAGCTAGCTGAGTCAACAGGGTAGCTAGCATCGAAGCTACTGCTAGCAGCGAGGCTACTGCTAGCCAAGTTGTCATGAAACGCTCTGATGTTGTGATCAGCAAAAAAGTGACCGTCTGCCAAAAACTGCTGCTTGTTATCAGCCAGTGTACAGCTCTATTAGCATTAGTAGTGGGATAATTTTTCTTGCAATCATCTTTTGCATTATCTCCCTCTGTGCTCCTTATCCTAACCAGTCCAGTTCATTTTAATGCTATTTCCACTCCTATACAGTTGAAAAAAGGACTAATTAAAAGCTGATATAATGCAGTCTTCTACCTGCCAAAATGTGCAATAGAAGAGGGTTGTGTTTGTAAAGATTACAGCCCATGGGGTGAATGCAAAAGAGTTTATTTCTTCATTGTAAATTATGTTAATTAGAGTCTAGTTTCCAAACATAAACCAGGCTGTTAGACAAGCCAAAGAAAAACAGGATAAACCCTGGAAACAGTACTTTATTAATTGTGAATATCGTGCCAGATTGCACTACTAGCAAATATTTTGAACACAATTATTTGTTTACAAGAAACGCTGCAGTCTCACAAAGACAAACCTTTTCAGTTACCCCAAAGCTATATCTGGTATCACAGCAAACATAAAGTTATATGTAATGGCTCGTTATTACCAAATAAAAGCAGCTGCAGATGTGTGGACACTGCAGATAAGGATGACTTTTTTTTGGCACAGCATTGATTAAAAGTGTAATGAAGTCCACTGTGTGATGTTGGTGTTGCAGCAGTCCTCGATTTGGATCCAGCAGAGGCGGCCCACCACCGGGTAAAAAGTTTGGGAATCCAGGGGACCGTTTACGAAAGAAGAGATGGGACCTGGATGAGCTTCCTAAATTTGAGAAGAACTTTTACACTGAACACCTGGAAGTGCAGCGGCTGAGCCAGGTACTCTGGTGTTATATGTCTATCTACCTAAAGCTGTAGTAGCTCTCTGACAAACTGTGTTTGATCCGCGCTGGCCTGTTGCTTCTTTCAGTATGATCTTGAAGAGTATCGCAGGAAGAAGGAAATCACTGTTCGAGGTTCAGGCTGTCCAAAACCGATCACTGGCTTCCATCAGGCCCAGTTTCCCCGTAAGCACATGCGTTCACTGTTATCTACATGCCCACAATCGTGGAGTCATGCAGCGACTGTAACTACTGATTAAATCTGCTGTGATATGGATCATTTGATTGATCTTTCTTTATCGTGTTTGAAAAGCTTCAGTATTTGTTATATTGAAAATGCTGTTGAATTGTTTCCTTGTGCACCAGCAGCAATGTGTGTCTGTTGGAAATGTTAACTCAGGATGTATTAAAAAAAAAATTGCAAAAGGTGTCCCAGAAGACTCAATCCTGGGGCCTGTGCTGTTCACCTTTTGTACAGACATTTTCCTGTGTATCTGGGTGTAATGTACATCCTTGTTCTTATGATTCAGTTTAGCACCGTCGTGTACATACTCTACATTCTGCTCCCTTTAAGTTTAAACCAGTTTCAACAGATTGAATGAATGATTAGATGCTTCCTGTTCTGCCTGTCTGTCTAGAGTATGTACTGGATGTACTGATGCAGCAGAATTTCAAGGAGCCCACAGCCATTCAGGCTCAAGGTTTCCCGCTGGCCCTCAGTGGGAGAGACATGGTGGGCATCGCTCAGACTGGTTCTGGGAAGACCTTATCGGTGAGACACATTTACCCGTTAAGATGAACTCATACCACGCTGGGGAATTGCAGCACTGATCTCACCACTTTGCCTTTATTTAGTATCTCCTGCCCGCCATTGTGCACATCAACCATCAGCCCTACCTGGAGCGTGGAGATGGACCCATTGTACGTTAGTCCGGTCTGGAGTTTCAGATTTGATCACAACGTTAAAGTGTCTGATGCGCTGAACGGTGGATTGCTGTGCCGTTGTGTGTGTGCTCTGCAGTGCTTGGTGTTGGCCCCCACAAGAGAGCTGGCTCAGCAGGTTCAGCAGGTGGCCTACGACTACGGAAAGTCGTCCCGCATTAAGAGCACCTGTGTGTACGGGGGCGCTCCCAAGGGACCTCAGATCCGGGACCTGGAGAGAGGTGAAGAAAACTACCACTGTCCTATTTGGATTGTTTCACATTCCTAACTAACAAACAACTGTTTCCTACTGAAATCCACGTTAATCTACGTTATTAAAGGTCATCACATGCTGAAACGTGCTGCTTTGTCTCATCCAGGTGTTGAGATCTGCATCGCCACTCCGGGTCGTCTCATTGACTTCCTTGAGGCTGGAAAAACCAACCTGCGGCGATGCACGTACCTGGTGCTGGACGAAGCTGATCGCATGCTGGACATGGGTTTTGAACCACAGATTCGCAAAATTGTGGATCAGATCAGGGTAACGCTAGGATTCAAAGCTTTATCTGTGTTTGTTTATGTAGAGTTTTTCTGTTTTTAGCAGCAGAAGAATTCCTGTTTGGTAAGCAGGGAATTAAACGGCTGTTGTTACCGTATACTTGGTGTGCTTTATTCCCAGCCGGACAGACAGACCCTGATGTGGAGCGCCACCTGGCCTAAAGAGGTTCGCCAGCTGGCAGAGGACTTCCTGAAGGACTATGTCCAAATCAACGTAGGAGCGCTAGAGCTCAGCGCCAACCACAACATCCTGCAGATTGTTGATGTTTGTATGGAGAATGAAAAGGACAACAAGTAAGAGGCTGGCCGTGGCGCGGATTCTTCTTCACCTTCATTAAAGATTGTTTGGTTTACATTTTTACAACCCCTGCTCGGCTTGGACGCTTGTCGCTCCTCACCCTTCTCCTGTTTGTCTCTTTTCAATTCTTAAAGATTCTGTATGCAGCGTTTCTAACCACAAGCATCTCAGACAAAAACAAGCTTTTTGGAGTGAGGTGCATGCATGTATAGCTTTTAAATGTTCTGCATGTGTTCCTCAGGTTGATCCAGCTAATGGAGGAGATTATGGCTGAGAAAGAGAACAAGACTATCATCTTTGTGGAGACCAAGAAACGGTGTGACGACCTGACGCGCAGGATGAGACGTGATGGGTGAGTGCACGTGGAAAAAAAACTATTTAAACTCTTTATAATTGTTCCCAACGTTAGTTTGGTTTAACAGGGTTGTAAATATAAATACATGACTACTTTCACCATGTCCTAACCCTAACCCTAAAGAGCTCTGTGGGTACAAATTGTAATTTTTTAAATGTATTTATTTATTTCAATATTATTTTTTTATTTTTATTTTTACAACATTCTCATATTTTCTTTGCTTTTAAAGTGACATTATAAAAATAAATAAAAATGAAAAAAATAATTAAAAAATAAACAATAAATAAATAAAATTAATTAATACAAAAGTTTAGTATTTTATTTATTTGTCTTTATATTTCTACTTTTATTAGCCTTTTCTTTTATGGATCCATTTGTGATTAATATTACTTTATATTGCCACATTGTTTATTTTTTTATTTTGTTTATTCTTCTTTTTATTTCCACCTTTATTTTATTATTCTTTCATTGATTTATTTTTGTCATTTGGCGCTCTCACTACTCCATACATTCTGTCAGTCTTCAGCTGATGGTTCACTTTCAAGTGCTGTTAGAAAACTCTCAGAGACATGAAGTGATGTAAACCTTATGATCACATCTGACATGTTGGTTTGTCTCCCAGGTGGCCAGCGATGTGTATTCATGGTGACAAGAGCCAGCCAGAGAGAGACTGGGTGTTGTCAGGTACAACACACACACTGTCATTGGAACTAAAGCGACTAACAGTACTGTTTCCTCTTTTTGACGTACGTTCTCCTCCTGATCATCGATTGTTTGTCCCGCGTTGCAGAGTTTCGTAGCGGCAAAGCTCCCATCCTGATTGCAACTGACGTGGCTTCACGTGGTTTGGGTACGTAGTGTGTGCTCAAGTGCAAAGCAAAGATTTCTTCAGTGTAGCCACACACTGATGTGGAACACATACGATATATTTGACCGCTCAGAATGTAGAATAACATGAATAAAGGTCAGTGGATATTGATCAGGGAGCTCACTGCATGTTTATGTACAGTAGATGTTTCAGAGTCAACCACAAACACATACCGATTTGCAATTCTTTCAAAGACTATATGATGCTTCTCAGATAAAGAGTGTATCTAAGAAGTATGTCATATTTTAAGCAGGCTTTCCTGTGAAGACTTTACTGAGTAACAGTGAGAGAACCAGAGCAGAACGTAGGAATGATGTTGAATGAAGTGTGACGATGTAAGGGGTGAGGCTAGTCAAGCAGCCCCTTACAGGATGGCAATCAACCTTTAACCTAATTCTGTGTTCATTTGTTTTCTTTTCATTTTGTTTTTGTTTATTTTTTTGTTTGTTTGTTTCCAAGTCTCTCTTCCGGCAACTAGAAGCACACAGGCCCTCGGGAGCCTGCAGCCGGACCTAGGCATGACAAATCGAAAGCTGACTTGGGGAGAGAGACAGCCTGATTAATCAGTCCCAGACACAGCCACAGAACAGAGCCCACTAACAGACCTCTCCCCCCTTCCAGGACACTGGCTTCCTGGGCGATGTGTGGGGGGGGGGAGGCAAGCGCAGGGTGCTGCTGGGCTTCCAAATTTGATGGTAGGGCCGGGGGGCGGCTGTCAGGTGAGAGGGCGAAGAGGGGGGTGTGGAGGAGGGTGGACTCCCTTTGGCCATGCCATCATCACAGTGACGCACCATTTATTCTGATTCATTGAATAACTCAGATTCACCCAGGCTCCTTTTTGTTTTTTTGTCTTTTTTACTTTTTGATATCTGTGTATTTACTCTGAGGGGATATGGATTAAGAAAACATGCCTTGAGGAGACACATTTCCATTCCCTGTAAAACACTTTTTTCTTTTTTTTTAACCTAATTGGCCCCGCAGACAATCCACCTAAATACACAGTACGTTAGCTTTGTGAAGCTGAAACACAGTGGTGCATTACAAGAAGACAGAGACAGAAACAACTGCCAGGAAGTGAGGGTGGAAAGCAGCCAAAGCCGGGCATGGGCAGCTATGCTGGAGACTCCCCTCTGAACTGCCCCCTGATGCCAGCCCCTGACACCCCCCACCACTGGCTGTGCCGGCCGGCCTCTCCCTCTGCGGACGTCATGTCTGGTCCTGGCTGGCAGGAGTCCTGGCCTGGAGGAACCACCTCTCTATAATCAACTTCCCTCCCTTTTACTCCTCTTCTGTGTGTCACTCGGTTTCTCTCTCTCACGTCATCTCTCTGTCACTCATCTCTCTTTCGCTCATTTCTTCTGTTTCCTCCTCTCTCTTGTTTTTTCACTCGCTCTCGTCTATCTCATCCAGGTCTCCTGTTCTTGTTTTCTTTCATTCATTTCTGACCCTTGTCCTTTTTGTCCTTTTCCCCACTATTCCCAAACCCACATTGTGCCCTGCTTTCACCCCCTCCCTCCCTTTGTCTTTAACACTTTGGCCATTTTTCTTTGTGTACATCACACCAGACCACCAGGTCAGTCTAAGGACTACCGGGTTGCTAGATGCCGTCACAAGGACGAGCGCAAACTGTCAGGGCTCAGTTCCCCCGAGAGAGCCCACTCTGACAGAACATGTCGTCTCCTTTAGCGTCTGTTTCTTGTTACTGAACTTGAAAAGCTGGGCTCTATAATACCACTGCCATTGGAAGCGACCTGGGAGGCATTTGGAACAATCCAGCACCAATCAAAGAAAATCCACCACTTCTACCGAGCCACCAGTCAGTCACAAGTTACCCGTTGCTGCCATTTAGTAATGCTAGAAATGGCAGAGTGAGTCGCTCTCGCCTTAAAGTTGACATGAAAGAACCCAGACAGGCCTCTCCGCCCGTCACCTTCTGCTAGACACAGCATAAACCCAGCAGTAGTGTCTCCTGGACTAACGAGGCCGGGAGACGTGAAGAGGCACACTTAAGAGTAGAGTAGGACCGCATCCCAGCACAGTCCAGCTGGAGCTCTGGCCCACACAGTTTCCAGCTTTGGGAGTGTTGTGGAGGAGTGGCGAGGTGGCAGAAGGGACTGCTTTGTCCTGTGCGCTCTCCTCCTGCCCCTGCAGACCTCCCAGGACTGGTGATGGGTAGGGGGACAGAGAGGTAACTTTGTAAGCCATCACTAGATCTCTGACAGGGTAAGTACTGTACCTCACCCCTCCCCTTCCCCATTCTCTCTTCCACCAGCCTTCATCGTTATGCTTCCAAAACAAGACTTGTTTCTCGTCTAATCAGCAGTGTTTTCTGAGCCCTTTGCCGACTGTAATGAGAAACAGACCTCGAATTTGTTCTAAAAGAAGATTTGTTTTTCCAGTTGATCACAAATCAGCAAACCCTCAGTCTGTCTGTCTGCAAGGATCATGTTACAGTTTCATGTTAGGGTCACTAGTCTCCTAAAATTAGCTTTTCAATATTTCTTCATATTGTCCAAATTCTTCAGCGCACCACTGTAACATCCCCCCTACCTAATTCAGCTGATCTGTAGCTCTGACTGCATGTTACCTGTTTGCATGTGTGCAAATATCTCATTAATCGACTACATTATCGAGTCCTGTTCTGTAATTGGCATGTTAAGTCGTTTTCCTACTGTACGAGTAGCCGGTCATGTGACAGGTAAGTGATGCTCAGAGGATGATGGGTGTCTCGCAGGTATTGTCTGTCTGAAAGTTCTCAGTTCCAAAAGCAAAATTTAAATTTCATGAATGGAGCAAACTGACTGATTGATTTCTCAACCAGCGTATGTTTTGTTCTGACTTGTGTTTCTATCTTCTCCCTCCCTGTGACCGATCCCACCACACCACCCCTTCTCCACCACTCCCCACCGCCGCCTCAAGACGTGGAGGATGTCAAGTTTGTCATCAATTATGACTATCCCAACTCATCAGAGGACTACATCCATCGTATCGGCCGTACGGCCCGCAGCACTAACAAAGGCACTGCCTACACTTTCTTCACCCCTGGGAACCTCAGGCAGGCCCGAGAGCTGATACGGGTGCTGGAGGAGGCCAGACAGGCCATCAATCCCAAACTGCTGCAGCTGGTGGACACCGGACGTGGAGGAGGCGGAGGAGGTGAGGGATGCTCTCTGCTGGAATTGAAATAACAGCCTGTATGTGGAGCCTCAGTAATGTAGACGCTGAGGTCTCTGCACCGAAGAAGAAGCTGCCTTTCTCTGTCATAATCTGATGTGGGATAAGATGGCTTCATGTAACTTTAAAGACTCTTGAAAACGTGGGTTTTACTCAAATAGTTGTTGCCAACAATAGACGGGTGACAAATTAAAGGAAAAACCAACATCAAGCGTCTCCGTAATGAACCACCTCATGGTGCCAGAACAGCTCCAAGTCACTGGGACTCTACTGGAGGAGTTAACGCCCTTTTTTCTGAAACATATTCCTTTAATTAGTGTTTTGATGTTGGTGGTGGAGAGTTCTGTCTAAGATGTCTTTCCAAAATCTGTTACAGGCCTCCATGCCTGACTATCTTCAATTTGACA